TCTCTCTATCACACTATTCCTCCATTCCTTGAGTCACTTTTTACATCTTAAATATAGTTTTGAAAATACCCACAGATTGCTGGCACAATCTCCCTGAGACAATTTCTTACAACAGAAGGAGATGAAAAAAATAGAATTAGTTTATCACCACCTGACTCCCGAGTTAAAAAATTGAAACACTGAGCTTTCATGTGGGATAGGAGAACTGCAAGATTTTATTCAATTCTTGAAGCCTAGTCCATGCACTCTCAATAGAAAGGTAATTTGTTCATGTGGGTTAGGACAGATGGCATGGGGACCTAAAATGAATTTTCCTCTGAAAAACACCAATTGTTTACCCAATGGATCTGTTCTTTTTCTGTATTCAAAATCACATATCCTTAGTAAGAATCTAAGTAACAGTTTGTATTGCTTTTTATTACCATTAGTCACTCAAACCCCACTCAATTTTGAGATGGAACCAGATGCTATTTGTCTTTTTTGGTCTCTCTACAAACTGTAGAATAACTGTTCACACGCCCCAGTTTTTTGTTCCATCCTCTCTGGCAAAATCAGAGGGAACATCCCAAACCAATTCTCCCCAGCTGCTCATCGACAGAAAGACTGAAGACAACTTGCAATCTCATTCTATACTGGGGCACTTGGGCACTGCCATAACAGCTCCAAAGCTTTTGCTGGAGATGGCAAATGTCAATCAGCAGTAGCTACAGCACAGGATGGGTATGAAGAACAGGGGCTTTATTCATTGTTAAGGCTGCAATAAATTGATATTTCTCTGTGAACTCAGAATAATGGTACAGCCAGTTATGAGACACAAGTGGGTAAAACCCCACTGGATTCAGTGACTGCAGTTTGGAACCTAATGCTTGAAGAGACACCACCAGAACTCTGCAACAGGGAGAGACACAACTCAATACCACCTGCCCAGAAAAATATACAATTTATCTGATCACAGGCTGCACCAGCCTGTTCTCATTCACAGGACGTTACCAGAGGGAAACTCAGGTTAAGAATTATTTTAGGAAAACTAAAACCACAATCTGGATGTAAGAAGAGTAAGACACCAGTGACAAAGAGCAGGCTGAGAAGGGAACACTCCCAGGAATTCTGCAGTAGAGCACACAGGACCTTGCAGCATAGAAAATTAGTTTAAAAATCCTGGTGCAACTGGGGCATATCTCTATTTAATTATTCTTATATCTTAAACTATTGCCTTTGTTTCCTCCATCTACTCCTCTTTTTTCCTTGTAACTTTCCCAATTCCTGAGTATCTCCAGAGGTTCAAACCCTCCTTGAGCCCTGATTCCCCCGCCATACAACTATGCCCAACTGCCCTTTGAATATACAGTGCAGGTGTGACTCTTCTTTGTCCACTACAATAGCATAAAGAAATGTAATTAACTACAAATCTGAATTTCATTCCCCCTTGTAGAACGAAATTATTTGTTTTAGTAAATGTCCTTATCTTTTACCCCATATTCTTGGCAACTTTCTCTATGATTTCAGTAAAAGCTTGAGGATAACAAGCCACCTTAACACATTCCTCTTCAAAGCAAACCCAAGTGGACAGGAATAGGCCAATTTGGCCGATGTTCTACCTGTATCAGAAGTCCTCTCTCATTCTCTCTTGATTTCTCAACACACAAATTGTAGCTACACCTTTCCACACACAGATTTAAATGTAGCTTTTTTGCTCTACTTTTGTCCTCCAGAATTCTATATCATAAAAGTCTTCTCTTCCCTTATTTATCATTTATAATCTGTACCATTGTCTCAGTCTTTCTTTACTTGTAGTTCACAGTCATCTGACATGTTCTTATTAAATTTCCACTCACTTCCTTTGTAGCTTCCATGCATTCCTAGGTACCTACATGACATGGGGAAAATTCTGTGGAACATAATTATTTTGTTATGCAGAAAGAGATAAACCTGCACTTCCACCTTTCCCATTTCAAGTCCAACTCCCACTGCCACGTATTCCAAAGTGTTCTTAGAGTAAAACCAACAATGTAAGCACAGGAATAGTTTCAGTAAAATAACATTTCTGTGAAGTGCCTTTTGGATTTGGGTATGAATTCTATTCCTGCTGACAGGTCTGCTTCAGTTCCTCATTTGTGATCCAGAATGCAGGATTGCAAACTTCCACTTGTTGGTATTCAAGCAACCATGGACTTGTTACAGCCACTTGGTCTAAAACACAAGGTCCACAATCCCCTGCTCTCCTCTGTGCCTCAATCAATTCCTGCATTATGTTGCAAATCACCCTTTTATTTCCAAGTGCCCAAAGACCAAATCATCTTACTCAGAGAGCTGCCTTGTCTTCTTCACCTGTCAGTTCATTCTTTTATCTTTCATTTCCACCCTCAGTAGTCACATCAACACCTTAAATTATTCCTTTTGTTGTTGTTGTTGTACTTCTCCCTTCCCTCTGCAGGCACTGAAGGCAGTATTTGGCAAGAGCTTTCACGGTTAAACTGGAGAACCACCAACACGTTTTTTTACTCAAAGGAACTGCAGTTACTAAAAGCATTTAATATGTTTTTAAAGAACTCTTCTATGTGATCACAGTTATTGCTGCACACCCGATACAATGCCTGTAATGTTTAAGCTATAAACTGTATCTCTGGACTCCCTTTGTAATTGCCCTGAAGGAAATTCTAACCAGCTCTCCAACTTCCAGACCCTCACTGATGAAAAATTTAGTAATACTCTGTCTCCAGATCAGACTCAGAAATTTACTGGAATCACACTGCCTGTTTCTTAGATATTAGAGATCCTTCTTTTGTGTATATGGAGGAAAACAGAAAACAAAGTAATGCCCACTAAAACATATCAGACATCGTTCCTCTCAATTTCTGTCATTCCCACAATTAAATGCACACTTATCCTTTTTCTGGAGCAGAAAAAACGTTAAATAAATACAGGTGATGAATTTCAAAAGAGATTACAGCATCTCCAACTGTTCTCTCAGGATTATCTTCCAACCATTAGCTTCTTAAAACTATCTTATTTGTTCAGAACAAAAACATGTGAAAGAAGGCACATTTTAAAATGAAGAAACATCTTACACAAACAATTATTCTGTATTCAATTATTAATGCATCATCCAGAAAGACTGGCAAGTCTAAAACACCATGTCCTTTCACTGGTGCCACATCTCATGCTGGAATTTGGACACGTTTCTGCACTATAGTGAAATTCAAGGTTTTTGAGGCCTCACTTTTTGAGTCAGAAATAAAATTAGGGAAAAAAAAAGGAAAAAATATGTTGCAAGAGCATAATTAATAGAGGTTACTTAATCACGTTTGAGAAGCAGGATCCTAACTCCGTATTTCTATATTTAAATTAAGTTGTGTTGGATTTTTTCTTCCAAGATATTATTGCTAATACACTCATGCTATCTGTGTGTCTGTGACCTTAATATTGCTTAGTCACATTTTTGGAGCCTTCTACCAAACTGATGGGTACAGTCTCTCCAAAAACTTCCTTTTCTAATTCAAAATCTGAAGGGACTATAAAGAACAGAGCAGAAGATGTATTGCCATCATCATAGATACTCAAAAGAGCATCACTTTAAAATTTCAGGTTTGGGTGTTTTTTATAATTTAAGGATTAAAACATTTAAGTTTAATACTGCACAAAGGACATGGGGATGGAAAAGCACAGAATTACCTGTATATTCCTCAGAGGGGTGGGGCAAAGAAACAACCACAAAGAGCAGAAGTTCAAAGTAACAGCTGAGAGCAGCAGTTCAAATTTCTACAGAAAAAACCCTGAATGGAAGGTCCTAAATATATAACCAACATTTTTTGCACTGATATGTACTATATGTCTGCATTGTAGCTTGTCTGTACACTTCAACAAAAAGGTAGAAGGCAATGATTCATACAGCAGTAAATCTTTATCATAACAGTGGAATTACAACTTTCTCAAACCAAAAAACCCCAAACGTCATGCTTTACTGTGTTACCTAAACAGGAGCAGAGAAACCCTTAAACATGTAAAGTTTAGGGGTAATTGCAGAAGAAATGTAGAGGTAAAAGTCCTCTGTACAAGCAGACAAATTCTCACCATGATTCAATCAGCTTACACGGTCCCATACAATTTCATCAGGATTCAGACACAGAAAGGCTGTGAGGATTCTCTAACATTTACCACAAACTTGAAATTTCCCCCAGAAACTGTCAACTGCTTTTGAGTGAGCAGGAAAAGATTTCATGTAACACACAGAGCGAGCAGATCCTGTGTCCCCTCACACCCCAATGCAGATCCAGCTTCCCTGGTACTGTAGAGTGGGGCTTTGAACCCAGGGCCATCCTGTTTGAACCCAGGGCCATCCTGGGCACCTGATCCAACCAGCAGATAACAAGCACCACCAGAAAAATGCAAAGAATGAAAGGAGAAGGGAGAAAGAAAACAGGCAGAAAATTGGAACCCTGTCACTGGCAACAAAGCATTAGAACTGTTTCACTGATTATTAAGATATTAATTACCAGACAATGAACCTTTGCAGTACAACATTACATAATGACAGCTGACTTGCTACAGAAGCTGCCTATTTAACTTCAGCATGCTTAGACAATAACATCAGCCCAATCTCAGTATATAAGATTTAAATTCTCAAAAGCATTAGGCATCTAAGGTCCCTTCCAACTCACACCATTCCAAGATTCCACGATCTACTTCTACTACCTTCCATGGCAGGGAACCCAGACACCTTTGTAGAGCTTTAAATCCTAGTCACTGCTATTTTGAGAAGAAAAACTGAAAGGCTTAAAAACCTTTTGGTATATGGCTTTCAAGGGTTGGGTGTGCAGCTACAGTACAGTAAGACAATACAGACTACAAGTAGATCAACCTCTCATTTGTAAAATCCAGGCATATACTTGTGTAGCTAAAAATAATGGCCAAATTAGAGTTCATGCAGACTCACCAAAAAGAGTGCTAATAAAATCAAATCTCAGCTGTGCCATTAATTTATTGAGTGGAACAATCCAATGACATACTAAAGTGACACTCAGATACATCTGGCTGCAAAGAGAGACAAAAAGGTTACTCTTTTCTTGTTTCCTCCCATTACCTTTATTACAGTAACATACTTCTGACAGGAAATTCATGATGAATTAATTCAATTAGTTAGAAGACCTTTAAAAGTAATAAAAACAGGATTTGTATTATTAGGAACAACATTTATAGCTCCAAATCTCCAATTTAAAAGCTACCCTGACATTCATAAATTATTTAAGAAAACAAACTTATTCCAAAGAAACAGAGAAGGACCACTCCAAAAGGTATAAAATGGAGCCAATCTCAAGCATTGTGGAGTCGCTGACACAGCTGATGAGAACAGTCCCCTGCACAGGTGTTGGCATGTTCTGACTAAGCTCCCAGCCCCAGCTTTGGCACATCCAGCCTCTTTCACTGCCACTGAGGCTGTCTACTCACACACATCACCAGATGGTGGCTAGAAGCTTACTCGGTGTGTATCCTGACAAAAATGGAAATAAACTACACAGATTGGAAAGAGCTCCTTGCTATGACTCCCAGACCAAAAAATCAGTTAACTTAGTGCCAAGGTTAAGAATATATGAATGTATTAGCTTGTTTGTTTGTGCTTTTAGAACCAATACAGGAGTTATCAAATACAACACAGGACCTATCCAATTATCCTTAAATGTGCTCCAAATATTGTCAGCCTACCCCTCATTCTTTTTATAAACTGTGTAAATATAAACCACTTAATTAGTACATAATAGGCTGTCTTACATTAAAAGAAAACAAAACTCTATAAACAAACAATTGTGCCAACAAAGCCCTTTCAGCTCCTCTTCATTGTTACTTCCAAAATTATTTTAGCCTGGGTGGATTTTTGAGATCAAAGCAAGCCCCTCCCCTCCCTGCTCCTTCAAAGCTGTGGTGACAGGCAAAAATTGGTCATGAACTATTAGTTTGAAAACAGAGGAGAACCTGGAGGAACAAGATCAGTACAAGGAAAGTTTAGTCAACAACAGAACAGCAGCAGAAGAAACAGCTGCCAAAGCCTATCCTGGAACTCATGAGTACATCTCTTTCCAATTAATATTATGTTTGAACAAAACCAATCACTCAGCAACTGGCCGTATATAAAATAATCCAAGTACAATACACTCAAAATGAGGATTCCCTCCCCCCAATAAAAATTTTTGAAGTAAAAATACATCTTATTTCATCTCCATCCTCATCACTATTTTTATTACTGACACAAAACCAAGGGCAATATGTTGATGTTCACCAACCCTGTGATCTGCTCTGAAACACATCACTGGGGTATTCTCCCTATTACCTTAACATGGGTATGTGCTGCTCTCTCTGATTATTTTATCTGCTGGATTCAAGAACAATTTTTGCATGAAGTGTGAAGGAGGCCTGTGAATTTCTTTACTATCACTAACATCCTTTTCAGGCTGTTTTCTTAAGCTGTGCCCATGAAAAATACACATATAAAAGGCAGAGAGACATCACAGCTATATGCATTGTTCCTAAATTATCTACATAAGTAATTTAAACAGAATTTTTTTTTAATTATAGTTATTGTATACCAGAAGTGTGGAAACATAGGGCAACATTTTCACACTAACAAGTACCACTGGAACATGACTAAATTTTTTGTTAGCGTACAGTGATCTTGCAGTCTTTTTGTTTATCTGTTCCTTTATTTTTCAAGCTATTTGTGGAAATCAACTCTTGATAGATTTACATCACAGTAAATCTCAGTTTTTGCTGTACTGCTTCGAGAGAACAATTTCTTTACAGGTGCTACACAAACACTGGGGAGGTTTGCTTTCTACCACGAGTGAAGCATTCCTGCAAAAACAGAAGCAGTTTCAGATGTCTGACTGGCTGATCTGCTTTGGATCATTTAAAACGTACAGCACGTTACCTGAGCTATATACACAAAAGAGGATAAAAACTTGTAAACATAAATACAGAAATATGTTGCAAAGTATACAAAGATGTGCAAACTGAAACTGTCCACTGAGTATCTGGTAATCTGACATTACTTCAACATTATTTGGCCTGTGTGTTGAGTAACAGAATTCTACAACTAGGCTTTCAAACTTGTGTTTTCAAACTTTGTAATTCAGCACCTTAGTTGAAATTATTTAGAGTATTTACAAAAACAGCAGAAGAAGGGAAGAGAAGGGGAGCTGCTAGGGAAGAGAGAATGACTGAAAGGAAAACCACTACAGTACAAATAATATATTGTGCTTTTTGTCCCCAAAACCAATCTCAGATCATGGCCACATTAAGACATTAGCTTGCACTTAAATAAACATGAATTTGCAATATGAAAAGATTCCCGATGTGTCCATAAAACTGTTTAGCAGTTGTGCTTTACAAAGGGGTTGCATTTAGTGGCAGCAGATTTGATTTACCTTCATTGTCTAAATATGATGCTGAAATTATTTCTGTTCCCCTGGCACAAACCCCACCTTGTAGATCCATCACTACAGGCTGGTTTCCAGCACACATCTGTCCCACCTCAGACTCCCTGCTGGCAGAGGTTTCACTTGGGTTACTGTGTGTAAGAGCAGGTAAGACCAATTAAGCCATGATTATGCAACAACTAGTTTTAATCATGATCAACCCTGTCAGGCCTAGATTCAAACTGGAAATCCAATTAGGAAAAGGTCTGTGACCCATTAACATTGTCTTCATAGCATGTGACACTCCAATGAAACAGTATTACATTTTCTGGAGGAAACTGTCCAATTATTAATTCATAAACTGTGTGGAATAAAGACTGAGTATTTTATTTCATTTCACTGCATTCAAACAGAAACAATTAAGCCTCTACTTTCTGCTCCCAGAAGTGCTGTTTGAATATACAAGACAAACAATCCTGAACGGTGACGAGCAATGCGTGTTCCTGCCAGAGCACTTAGGGTATGTGAGAGATTTGTTACCATGAAAACTAAATGCTAATGTTGAATTTCATTTTCCTTAAAGTGATGTTTACATATGCAAAGGCTTTGTTTAAATATTGGGGGAAAAAAGATTGAAACACCAAAATCCACAACTTAGTACAGAATAGTTAATTTAAAATATAAATACCACAGTGAGCACCTGAGCCTTTCCTTCCAGATTTCAGGGGTCTGAGTGCTTATTTCATATTTCAATCACAATTCAGTAATTTGAAAGGGATCTAGTTTCATCCATGAATTACTTAAGCTGAACTACATTAAAATGGAAAAAACCAAAACAAACAATTAGTATTAACTTTAGCCTTGTTTAATCTACTTTTTTGGTGTAAGTACATCGAGCAGAAGTTCACACATTGCCCTGAACATCCATCTAAGTTAACTGTGAATTTTAGGCTGCAAATATTTCTTCTGGAAGAATATTTCTTTCAAAATGGTGGTGATTATTTCCCAGTTCAAAGACATTCACCATTCTGTACATTTTGACTTGCCATCAGATATAAATTTTTTTTAATGAAATAAAAAATGAAATAAAAAAATGTATATCAATTACAATTAGGACTCATATAGGATAATTTTACAGGTATTTTATCAATACCCCAAAATACCCAAGCAGATCATTGTTTTGTTGTACTGAAAACTAAAACTATGTATATATAAGGTTCCCAAATTACTACGTAACTCTTCCCATCTCTTGCACTGTTAAATTTTTATTATAAAACAGACCTTAAAAAAAAATAGAAAAATTATAATTGAAACAGATTTCCGTGGAACTTAGATATTTTTCCTCTCACACAAGAAAAATCCCTTCCTAAAAACCATTGACTTTTCTCAAGTGAAATGAAGTTTGCATCAATAATGTCGTAACCAAGGTACCCAACTCCGCTCATATCTTGGGCAGTGCATTCTAATTAGTGACTCTTTCCTTTAAAGTAATAGAGATCTTGGCAGAAGTTTCACATTCAAAAGATCATTGGAATGGCCCAGTTAGAGATCCTGTACCAGTAGAATCCCCATCAGTGGCTGTAAGTACCAAACACCTGCTAGAGAAGAAACAAGCACAACGAAACCACTCCTCTCCTTGGCCCCACAAAATTCCCAAATGGTTTCCAAGAGACACTTTAAGGTCTTGACACTTTAATTGAAGGGAAACCAAAGCATTAGTCCCAAGTTAATGAAATTACTCAATTCTGGTCTCAAATGCCAAACACTGCTGACATTACCAAGAGCTGTCCAAGCACCAACCCACCTCCTGCTGCGGGTGCTCTGCATGGAGCCTCCTGTGCTCTTGGCAGGTTCCCTCTTAACTCTTGCACAGCCAAATCCTATCATAAATCCCAAAGGGAATGATGGAAAGCATTGCAGGAACGCCTGTGGGGTAAAGGAAACCCCTAAGCAACAACACAATTCCCAACTCTCCCCCTTGAACAGGGCTGTCTGTTCTGAGGAAGACAGCAACAGCTATTGAGAAAAGTAAAGGAAAACAAACATTTTAAACTCTTCACATTTATGGAATTGTTTTCCTATCTTTTACATCATCTCAGCAACACTCAAAGGTAGTTTTTTTCAAATTAAATATTATTTCAGTAGGTCCCTCTTCCAGGAAATCAAACCATTTGCACCTAAAAATCAGTAATTTTATTATCAGTAGTTTCTGCAAGTGATTATAGCAAGTGTCTCACTGAAGACAGACTATTATTCTAAAATCTGTCATTATTTACACTCAGGGACAGAAAGAAATATATAAATATGCAAAGCATACGTACAGTTAAAATTAGGATCAAATGCATCCTACTTCCCAACATCTTTCTGTACTGGTTTTCAGTCTTGGGGGCCTGTTATTACCTTATTTCTTGGCAGTGTGCAATGGCTCAAAATAAGCCTTGTTCTTCAGCACAAAGAAACCCTCTGGATGCTCTGTGAAGTAATTTTATCAAGTACCAGTGGCTCCAAGTATCAATCTATTTCTAGAAATTCCTGCATTGGGTGTCTTGATTTAACAAAGCTGCAAAGATGGATGAAAAATTATATATAAGTTGTCTACAATTTGGTCTTGCAGCTATATGAGTATTACCTATACAGCTTTATTTGTAGTTAAAATTCTTAAGCATTTTCTTATTTTCTCCCTGTAGGTCTGTCACCTTTGAACACATCTGGGAAAGCCTGAAACTAAAGCTATCATCACATTATCTATTACATTACAGAATATCATAGACAAATTAAAACAAGAGCACGGATTTCATGTAAAAAGGAATTTTTTCTTTTTACCATTTTCAAGCCAGAACTGCTTAATTACAAAATATGTAACTCTTTTAAATTAAATTCGATCAAAGCCAACTAAAGAACACATTTTAGATTACATCCAGTTAATCTTGGATCATATTCTTAACATTTGAGTCACAGAACATTAATTCCTTATGTAGAAGGAAAGAGGCATCATATTCTGAGGATATATATTCTGTGCACCTGAGGCCAATCCCACTGGACATGAAGCCACACGTTGCCATCCCTGTTCCAGAGCCACAGGCACGCTCAGTACTTCCCAAATCGACCCTTGCTGGCTGGCACATCTTCTGCTTCCCTGTCTACAGGCACTAATGCGAGTCTTGACCCTTCCCCCAGCCCTCAAGTCTAATGGGAATTAGAAATAATTTCTTTGATATTGCTGTTCTTCAATAGAAAGTCAAAATTGGCCTGCTGTTTCAAGGCAAGGCTGAAAGCTGAGTCCCTTCAGGACAGTTTTGGGGGAATATGACAGCTAGGCAGCTAAACAAAGCCTCTGCTGGTCAGCCAGTACATCCCCTTTCCCAAGGGGACACTGGACCTACGCTATTCCTCAGAAAAATCTGTGTGTCCTGTTCCAGTAACACAAAGCCCCCAGGCAATCTAGTCCAGTGCTTCACTGTATTTACCACCATAAATCGTTTAATCTGTCATCTGAACCATTCTTATTGAGTTTCTACCTTATTACTTCTTGTGCTAACAGGTTGTTTTGTTATTTGGTATATTTTTTGGTCTTTTTCTTTTTTTTTTTAAACAATTCTATTTTAAGGATGCATCCTGTCTCCCCTTAGGGTTCTTTTCTGTGGATACACAATTTCACTTTTCACCTTTCCTTTGAACACTTTCATGGATTTCTAATCATTGTTACTGCTCTAGTGTAGATGCTCCCCTTGTCTCCAGAGGAGCTGTGATTACACTGAACACAAACCTGCAGCCAAAGCCACGTGCCATCTGAACAAAGCAAGAGGAATATTCCACAGCCTCCATGCAATATTCCTGGTTTACACTGCAATATAGCTTTCAGCTATTCAGCAATATTATGGCATTTTCAAGTCATGTTAAGCTTGTTTTACACAACATACCCTAGAGGCTACTCTAATTAAAAGCCATTTGATCAACACTTTCTTATCTTCTTGATCTGTATTTGTGCACTGGATCATTTTTTAAAGGCAGAGTTTTGTACCTTTTCTTACATTGCATGTTATTTCTTCAGATCAATTCTCCAATAGGACAGTTTTGGAATTTTACTCCTATCCTCAGCTTCACTTGCTATTCCAACCCCACCAAACCCAGGTCACTTGGTCTGTAAGTTTTATCAGCTTATTTTCTGTTCCATTTTCCAGGTCATTAATGACAATATAGCCCAGCAAAATGCCTATTCAATACATCTGCAAACTTCTAAGCTATTTTTCCTTAATTTAGAAAAATTTCTGTCAGGTCAAATTTCTACAGTTTCTCACAGGAACTATCTGTGAGACAGTACCCAAAGCCTTTCTAAAAACAGAAGAGCTCTTATATCTTAAGAATAAGATAAAGGTACTACATTTACTGCTTCTCTGCTATCCAGACCTCCTATCCTTCTATGGATGCAATTTAGAGTGGATTGAAATACTTCTTCCCTGCAAATCCATTTTCACAGTTACTTCTTCTCCTGTTTTTTTGCAGATGTTCAGTACAATTTCAGTTATTCACTGCCAGCTTCCTTCGGAATTTAAGTTATCCTGTCTAGTCTATCATTTCTTAGCTTTTACTTTTTATCTCTTTTATTTCTTAGCTTTTACTTTATGCTTTTCCCTTCTTTAGACTGCAGTCTTATATCTGCATAACTGGTATTAATTTTCTGAGCTACGTGTCTGGAGTTTTATCATACCAGGGAAGGACTGGAGGAATAAGCATTCTCAGTACCATCTGTCAGTCATCTTCTCTGAATATCAACCCAGTGCTTTCTTAGCCACCTTATTACAAACACAAAATGATTATTTCGTTTAAAACCCTTCCTAACTATTTTGGGATCTCATCTTTCCAATTCTGTCCCCAGTACGCCTGTGCTAATTTATATTCAAATAATTCAATTCAATAATCTGATTAAGCAATCATTTGGGTTCAGCTTCCCTTCTGCTTGAGAGCACAGAAACAGCAGTTCTTGTAAATTTTGTATACTTTCTTCCACAGAACTGAGGAGAAGCTTGGGTTTAATATATGTGTCCATGTGATATTTCAATCCAAAAATCTTATTAATTACAAAAGCTCTATTTGGAATGATCACTTGATTTTACTTCTGTATTTTTAATACACACAGTGGCCCTAATTTCAAAATCTGTTCCACAGAAATAGACAATGAATTAACTCCAGAAATGTCCAGTGCACCTTTAGAGAAAATTTTACACAAGAAAAACTGCAGAAAATTAAACCAGGTTGTAATATATTATATGTAGAAATATAATTTAGTGAATATAAAGAACCTGCAATTGTCCTGCTAATAATTAATAAAAACAATCAAATTTAGAATGTACTCTGAGAGGAACCTGAGAGAATGAAAATATAAAAATAGGGAAAGTATATTTCCAGAGCATAATGAAATTCCCATTATAAAAAGTTCTCTACAATTTTAATGACCTGCGAGTGCATTTTAATTAATTTAAATGTTTAAAGCAGTATTCTATACACATTCTTAATCTAAGAATATTTATGCTATTGATACTGGCTTATTAAGAACCAGATATGTAAATAGTTTAGCCTAATTGCCTGTTACTGTACAATTTAATTGAGTCTTGTCACAAAGATTGTAAAATCATGATAATACATTCCCTCAGAAAAAAATCCAGTTGCTTTTTCACTGTTTCACTGATAAACTTCACATCAAAAGGGACCCTATGTTTTAAATTATGTGTCAGCTTTTACAGGATATTACAAAAACACAATATATATCTGTCCTTGAAGCAAATGTTCTTGCTCAGCTATGAGTCATATTTGCATCTACTTTCAAGCACAGGCATTTGTTAGATCACTGTTTAGCTACAAGACAAAAAGAGATGTTAAATCATTTCCATCACCATAGTTCACTCCTATGTAACAGTACAGTTAATGCAAACATTTATAATTTTGTCTCAAGGATACAATCCCATGACAATATAATGGCTTTTTACTGAATATGATATAATCAAAATGCCTACATTTGAAAATTGGATTAAGGGTTCACTCTGAACTCTAAATGTTCACCTACATTTAATGAAAAGAGCTAAACAATACTAAACAGTGAATTTTACCTAGATCTCCCATATCTTCTGTTTTCTCCATTTTGTCATAAATGAACTGTGTAAATATAAGACTTTTTAATGGCATTTATTTCTGCTGTATATTCCTCACCTGAATTCCAAGAACTGACCAATTTATGCTCTCTCACTTCCTATGTAGTTATAAAGAGAACTTAAATGAATCAATCTTAATACGTATAAATCAATTTTACCCTCCTCAATAAAAAATTTAAAGTGTTATTTTCATCACTGTAAAGAAAAACAAGACTTATTAATGGCACACTCTTCAATGAAGACATTCCCACGCTGAATCATTGTAAGTCACATAAGACACAGCAGAATTTAAAAGATCTTTTGATATAGGTCAAAGCAGATGGGACTCCACACAAGTCTGATTCCAAATACCACAGCAATTGATCTAAGGAAGTCATTTATACCTCATCCTTTTGACAGGAACAAATACTCAGACAACTAAACTGTTGAATAAGAATGCACTATTTTAATAAAATAAGTTGTATTAGAACCATAGTTCAATAAATGCACACTAAAGGACAGAGTTCTGTGAGTATCTTTTGGTTTAAACACAATTTTATCTCACCTCTTGCACTCTACAAACTCATCATTCCCTCTCTGCCATTTATTCTAACAGCCTAAGCAATAATTCATGGCACTGTCCAAGGCAGTATCCTTTACTAGGAAAAGAAAATTTTTAGAAATAATAGATCCAGGAAATGTGAAGTGAAAAAGAACTATTGTTCCATTGCTGGAAGAGATGCTAATCTCACACCTCAAGTTTTAGATTATCACTTAGCCATGGGAAAATCTAGTACATTCAAACATGTCTGTATTTTCTGATGTCTTATTTCTGGAACTACTCCATTTTTCTAATCCATTGATTAAATAAAGACATCAGGGCCTCTGGTAAGACTCATTTGGGAAACATAAGATCTGCAGCAACACAGATGGTTGCCAGAACCAGTCAACTAGCAGTGTTCATGAATTTCAAAGAACAAGAAACAGTCAGGCAGGCTCACTGCCTGGGTAGAGTTTATATTCTGGGGGTGAAGCACAACTCCACTGAAATTTACTATAAAAATCCTGATGACTTCAGTAGAAACAGGAATGAAAAAATTATTATTTCTTGGGTTAGGAAATTTTATCTGTTCACAAGTCAAAATGAAGAGAGTGTTTAAGATGGAAGTTTTTAACCACTGAATGAAAACCAGGGAAAGTGGAGATGGACTGGCTGGCAGGTGCCTCAGTAATACTCAGATACCAACAGGTGGGGAGACAGTACAGGGAATTATTTCCTATATGTGGTGAGAAGTGGTTCAGAAAGCAACAGCAGATAGACAAATAGGTGGACAAATAGATAGATGGATAGATAATTTCGAGGTTCAGGAGAAAGGAAATGGAGAAAAACAAATACAATTGTATGTTTGTCAGTGGAGAGGTGCACTGCCAATAGAAGAAATGCTCTTGCAAACCAAATAGAAACAAAAATAAATTACCATGATCATACTCTGGTGAAGACAAGCAAAGATTGAAGCTGATTCCAACTATATCAGCATCAAGTCAAGATTTTTTCCTTCCCAAAACCCACAGTTTAAACTCTAACTGTACTTCTCAAACAGGAATATGCCAATGAAACAGGTTCAAGGGCTTATGAAATTTTAGGTATTCAAATGTTTACCCTGATCTGGAAAAATAAACCCCACTGTTATATTGTCAAAAAATGCAACCTCAATAAATAAACCCATTGGAATAAAATAAGTAAAGCAAACAACTCCTTTCCACAATGAAAAATATTCAGTTGTTAACTAATTCTGATTTTGCACAACTTCCAAACCGAAACAGTAACATAGCTCTGGTATACTCAAGTTTAGAAGCTCTGACCATTAAGAAATCACTGATTTTCTGCCCTTAGTCTCCCAGATGATGTACCTTTTAGACCCACCTGGAACAGACAGTCTGAAATGCCTGAAAAGTTTGCAAGTACTACAGAACAGATCAGGATTTCTCAAGTTACAAAGGAAACATAACAGAGCAAGAAGCATTTGTAGCCAATGCTCTTCCTCTGCAGGGTGATTACATCAGATTCTCAAAAAGTATCTTGCTAGCCTCAACTAATCAGAGTTCCTACAATTCCCTGAAATATTAATTGCAATAAGAACTCATAATGAAAATCAACTTGTTACCTACCTTTCCTATTTACTTCTACTAAGTATGGCTTCTTTTAAACACATTGGACAGGTATCTTTCACCACAGCTCAGTACCAGTTTAAAGTGGATTAGACACTGAGCAACTGGAAAGAACATTATGTACCTTCAGGTCTCTCTTGTCCATCTTCTTCTCTGCATCTTTGACTGGATCAGATGAAGAACTTGCAGCAACAATGATTTTCTGCTGCCTGGCTTCCCGAAGAGCTTTCTGGGTGGGACCTTCAAAGTCTTTCTTCCTTGTACAATCGTGGACTACAAAATAAAACCAACAAAAATATCATCAGAATGCTTTTGACTTACTCTTTTGGAAGATCTCTTTACTTAATATTAGGTAGACATGTGAAATTATCAAAGAAATACCATTTTAAATAAAGAGATATTAAGGTTAGTGTCCCATCCATATAAAGTATTCCAAGACCACATGTAGCTCTGCTCCACAAATTATTTTGGGTTGATCTGATTTAGCTTACTCAAAGGGTACCCAAGGCTTTGCCCCAAAAATGCAGCAATCTTGCAGTACAGAGAGAGTCACAGTGAAATGGGAGCATTCTTTCACGTCCCACAGAACCAGGAGGAATATCAGCTCACTGCACATCCTATCCAATATCCATCACCAATGCATTATTCTGATTTACAGCCCACGTTTCCTTTCGCTTCCCTGCACTGTCTCCCAACCCACCTTTCCAACAAGGAATTACTGATGAATTGGTAACTCAAAGAAATCCCACACAGGTAACACAGCTGTAAATCAAAGAGGTTGAAAGGAATAGGAGCAGGAGTACAGCCCATGTAGAATACAATACAATGCATCTGCCATGAGCTGGCAGAAAGGACACTGTTCTCTGACAGTCCTTGTACTGGCAGCTCACACATGTCCAATACAGTCCTTTGTGATCCCTGTATCTTGTTGCAATGCTCTGTTAGATGTACATGGATCTATAAGAAAAAAAATGTAGCACTGAATTCCAACAGTGTTTGGGCACTTACATCCCTCCAGCTCTCGGGAAATAAAAAATCTCTGCTTGAAAAAACACATTATACAACTAAAATCCAGATTAAAACAAATGTACTTCACACTACCCAATTCCAAATGCTTGCTCTTGTGAAATGGTTTTATTAATGCAAACTTGCTGACTTAAAAGGTGGAAAAAAATCCCACTCCCTCCACTCTCGAGACAAAAACAGCAGATCAAGCAAACACAAAACCTCCTTGTATGCCCAACCTGAGTAAAGCTAGAATTAATGGAAAGAACTGTGTCTGGATTAACAAAACATCTGTATTCTCACTGCTTTAAAAGCTACAGCTACTGTCACAGATACCCTGAATAATTACTTTCTCTAAGGAATGGTACACAGCAAAATTGGTTTATATATCAAACACTTTCTACTCACTTAGTAACTGCTATCTACTAACATGTTGCTCATGGAGTATTTGGTTTGTTGGTGCTTTTGAAATACACGTAAACCAAGAGTTATGACAGCTGAAGAGCTTTAAAACTCAATAACTATCACCAAAACAAAAAAAAGGAACAAGTTCCTAAGATCTGTTGCACTAAGAAGCCAACAGCTTACATTTACACACTTTCTATTCTGGTGGTGTTGTACAGGGAATGGGGACAAACAGGCCCAAGCACTTCAACTGGTGCATTTTAAATTTCTTTTAGCATGACCTTCTAACTGCAATTGCATCAGATAAAAGAAAGGAAAAGCACAGTTAACAGCCTCAGCAATGAGTTAATTCAACCATGAGTAAAGAAACTCATCGAGTTCAACTTTTGAATATAATTGGGTAATAAATAAGGAGCTGTTGTTTTTAGGAAATACAAGAAGAGTACTGAGCAAGTAGCAGTTTTATAACATGTTTATAGAACCAGCTGTTACAGCAGCATTCACTTAGGTTTATCAGAAACCCAGAATCAACGCTGCTTAATTCCTGCAGGAAAAGGTGGTCTTTTCTCAGAGCACCACTTAACACTGTGTTTTGATCCGTAAGTAACAGTGTGAGAGCTCTGTTAATATACACCAATAACCTAAATAAAATATCAGCTCTCTCTTCGGTAATTAGATTCCTCTATGTATGAGCTTGCTACCATATCAGGAAGGATCAGATTTAAAACAAAAATAGTTTTTAACGCAAATCTTCCTAAAAAAAAATCCAAAATTACTTTTTAAGAAGTAATCTGAACTCAAAATACAACTTTTCTTTCACAGCTGATTTCTGAGTGATCATAGGAGAGAGAGAACCAGTCCATGAGAGGACAAAGTCCTCACCTGAACTGTTAACTAGTTCCTCTCCAACCACTACATGTTCTTCACATCAACTTGAAACAAGCAAGGCAAGAATTAGGAAATAAAACTCAGGTTTCTTTAGGTTTCTTAAAAATTATTACAAGTTTTTCTCTTGAAGGTTTTGTGTACAAAACCAAACAGCAGCCTGACAATGAGACAGCAAAAAACTCCTAGTAAATAAATTACATGCTCTGTATTGTGGATTCTCTCCTATCCTCTTCATTTGCTTGAAATGCATCAGGCTGAAAGCTCCTACATCAAATGCCTGAGTAATAAAGTCCAGAATAGTTGACCTAAATTTAACATTAAATACTGTTAATTTTTTTCCACCTAGCTGCCAGACATGAATTTACAGTGCAAACTCACGGTGAATATCAAGAAGCTTTCCTTTGTTCTTTATTGTGCACCATGTGACTCACTCAAAAAAAGCAACTCCAAGCAAAAAACCAAACCCACGGTCACAGAACGGTTTGCACTGGAAGGGACCTTAAAGCCCATCCCGCTGCAATCCCCTGCCATGGGCAGGGACACCTTCCACTAGCCCAGGTTTCTCAAAGCCCCATCCAACCTGCCCTCGAACACTCCAGGGATGGGGCAGCCACAGCTTCTCTGGGCAACCCGTTCCAGTGCCTCACCACCCTCACAGTAAAGAATTTCTTCCTAACAGCTAATTTAAACCTACTCTCTCTCAGTTTGAAGCCATTCTCCCTTGTCCTGTTACACACGCTCTTGTTAAAAGTCTTTCTCCAGCTTTCTTGGACTGGATGTGCAGAACCTCCCAATTCAGCAAACCTAAAACCAACAAAAAGCCACTCTCAGTGCCCTTGAGCCAAAGACAGCACTCCAGGTGTTCTGCAGGCACAGCAGGCTGTGGGACAGAGCAGCATCAGGAGCAGTGAAGGGCGATCCCTGCTGCTGGGCACAGCCACCCTCTCTCCTGCAGGCTCTGCTCTGCAGTGAAAGCAGACTCCTGGCCAGCAAAGGCACCTCACCTTGGCCAAGGATCACTTGGCACTCTGAGCAGGCACTGTCTCCTAACTAGAACACACCAGGGCACAAGAGTCAGCCCAGAAGAGACAGCAATGAAAAAATGCAGCTGTAGGTCTGCTTACAGCACAGATCTGCAACTGCAACAGCACCAGTTCTTTCCAAACTAACAAATTTAGAGGAAAGTAAGCCAACATTTCTCCAGTATCCAGGCACTGCTTGTTTCTCCAGGCTGCATTTATACTGTCTGAGGAATAAAAAAAAACAAGAGGCAACAGAACATGATCATCTTTCAAGAGGCAGCAGAAAGTATTTGGATAAGAGACAATATCACCCACTGAGACATGAGTATGACCTACAGAGTGCAATAAAAATTATGTACTATTAGAGGACAAAACACTGAAAAGAAATGAACTGAAATACTGATTAATTTATGATACCCAAGATATGAAGCAAATTAAGATTTGTACAAGCGTGCGGGTGGCTGATGAGCTTAATTTATGTTGGAGACTGAGTGACAAGGGGCTTTTCATGTAATTATTTTATCAAGTGGCTCCCCTGCTTGTCACTTTTTGGTGTTATAAAGTGCTCTTAAGATTTTCAGAGAATAAACAAGAGTGAACAGCCAGAGAGTAGTTTTTAGAATCACTCAAACAACAAATAAAAGTATGTTTAGTACGAAAAGGAGACAGATGGGGCATCCACACTGTAAGACACGAGCATGGGAAAGAACCCACACTATATATCCTCAAGCCAGAGTCTATTTTAATAGTCAGGGAAATGCTTGTTAAGCCTCTTCACTCAACCACAAACAGAAAAACACAAAAAGAAACCAAACATGTTTATGTGGTTACTATTCTTTTTCTCAGCTTTGTCTTTTCTAGAGGAATTTTACACAAAAAGAAGTTAACTTCATGAACATGGGAACTAATGAAACAAACCACGAAACAAACAGATATTAAAATTGGCCCAATTGGAACAAATGCTTCACCTAGAAATTGTATAATATTTGTAGGGTTCTCTTATTTCAAATAAACAGCAATCTCTGATGGGAGTCCTGCTCCTGACTACAGCAGGTAAATACATACTTTGTTGTCAGAGCATGGAGCTCACCATTTACCCTTTTCATAATCGCATTTATTTTCAGGAGAATTTAAGAAACCAGATGTTTTTTGAGACTTATCTTACTAGCAAATGTAGCTGCAATGGGAAAATAGGTTCCAAATTACTGGTGGGAGTGATGCTCTCAAAGAATGTGATAGCATGGCCTTCATTTACTTAGGAAAACAGAGGTGTTCAGGTTCCTCTGATGGAGTTAGAAAAAGTAATGTAATATTTACACAGGGAAGTAGTGCAGTAACATACAGATAAAGATATTATTCCAGAAGGTATTATATCACCTTAGCAACCTTCTGTAAAAATGAGACATGCTAAAATAAGAGGCTGGATTTCATAACACCAGCATTTTCAAAATGCTTCCAGACGCCCATATGCACCATCTTAAGAGAGAGATAAGAAACAACATACACTCCCCAAAAAGGGGGATATTAGTGGATGCAATAACAAAACCAGACACAAAACAGCTTCCTAGGGCAAAGTCCTTTCCAAGTTACAAACTCCATAATGCCTTCAGCAGTCTCACTCTCCTTAGTGAAGACATTTCAGAATAAAACATTCAAATGACAAAGCTGCTGCTCCGACACCCGGCCAGCTGATAAAACGTTTACAATGCAAGTATTTTTGATTTACTGTTACACCAGATTTTGAAATGCATCACAACAACACAAAACCCATGACCAGTCTGAGCCTGGTGATGGGAATATTTTACCTTTTGCCTCAGAAATCTGCTTAACACCTCCGGAGTCTAAATTTTCTAACACAGCCTGCAAACCTGTAACCTAATTTTAAAAAGAGAAAGAACAAGAGAAGGGAGTGTGAAAACATTGCTTTTGAGGAATCTATTCACAGCACACACCATTTATGCATTTGTACTTAATAAATTTCATCTATCATTTTTCACTTTTGATTATTGTCTCTAAGTTATGAAAATTACTCCTAATTCAAGATTTTGGAAGGACCCAGGAAAACAATGCTACAAAATCCAACCACCCAGAATCTCTCACTTTTACAGCTCTACTAAAACAAAGCAGTCATACAGAATACCAGGGCTCTGACTACACCAGCAACTTTTAGCCACTGCTGTCACTGCATCGATCTCTAATTTAATGGCACACTATGACCTACAGCTTTGTCATAACAAAATGTCACAAAACATGGTGTTACGTGTTACAACCAGTCACTGCTCTGGAACAAGCACAAGTTCATGTCTGTAAAAGTCTTACATATGTCCCTGAAGTTTCATAGCATTGGAACTTTCAATGTTTTGTACTCCTGATTCAGCATAACTCCATATGGACAGTAAACTTTCATTTTCTATAGGGCATTTGCTTTTATTTATTGAAATTTCAAACATATAATTCTCAGTGTTTTAAAAGTAAGCCCTCGGGTGACCTGAGAAAAATTGGAGGCAGAGGAAAGGAGGAAATGAGAGATGAAGACTATCAGAAGCAAGTCCAAGCATGGTAAATTCCTTTTACATTACCCACATATGCTACTGCTGAAGTGCATTTGCTTAGGGTATGTTTGGTTTTATTCCCCCCCTTCTTTTCTTGTACAAACAACATATTAGTTAAACACATGCAAGATAATTTTCTGTTTTTCATCTATCCTATCTGTGCTTATACTACTTCCTGCCTAAGGGGCAGAATATCTCAAATACCAACCCATATATCAGATAAGATTATAGGAATAAAAATACTACTCTATTATTCCACTCCAGACAGAAAAACTGTCTCTGATCTCTTAATGTATTTTTTTCCTAAACCAGTAGGTCATTCTGGGATATATTTTGGAAAAAATAAAATGATAAACAGTAATAAAGTTTAAACAAGCTATTTCCAAAGGTATAGATGGAAGCATGTGAATCTGTGTAACTATCACACCCTTCCTTAAGCTTCCACACAGAAAGTGTAACAGGGTCTGCACGTGGCTGACTCGGGGAGAGCAGCACTGAGCAAGCACAGACTGAGAACAATTCCTGCGTGGCACCAAAGTTTCACATACATTCAATGTTAACATTTCACCAAATACCGTGAAACCACAAAATATTCTGCTTCAAACTACTGCATAAGTGGGTTGTTTTATCAGAAATATCCTGTCTATTTACCCAGTAAAAAGCAAAAGCATTCCTTACAGCCCTGTGAGTGGTGTTCAGCAGAGTTTTACCTGCCCCACTGCTTTGTCTCTCTCCAAACTAGTTAACATCTTCTGCTTCAGCATAGTCTCATATTTCTCAGACAGCTGCTTCAGCACTGGCTCATAGGATGCATAATGTGCCTTCAGCCTGGGGACAAGAGGAGGAAAACATTATTTCTCACAGATGAGTGAAATCAGAGATTTGTGTCTGCATAACTTCTCCCCTCCCCAAATGAAAGAGCAGAGGTTCCAAAAGGTTGACACACAGGAGACAGCAAAGCTATTGAGTATGTAACCACCCAACTGCAAGACCACAGAGGAAAAAAAAACAGCAAAAAACCTCAGATCGATAAGAGGGTTCACAGCTTGTTTGGTTGTATCTTAAAACAACCCATCTAATTTTGACCTATTCTTAATCCTTCATACACACACTGCACAATAATGTCTGCTAATTTGTTTTCTTGCAGATGGATGGTATTTCTTTGGAAGAAAGAGAATTACAGCTGTTATCTGATTACCAAATAAGATCCTCATCTAGACAAAACAGACTATGATCAGTATTTCTTTCTTCACTGCATATTACACTGAGAATACTTAACTACTTTAATTCCTCAGACCAGAAGACTCAGATATAGAATCTCTCAAGAGAAACACATAACACAGCTCCAAAACCACTGCATTCTGCAAGAAGCTGATTTAGAGGGGACAAATCAGTGCTCTCTTGCATTAACATGTTGGCATTTCAAGGCTGAACATGCAGAACACACAGCTGACATCACATGCACTGATTGACAACAGTACCAACAAAACTCTGTGAATTAATTGGAGTTGAAGATGTAACCCACTCCCCAGTGTTATTTTAAAACAAGTGCTGGTATAAACATGTGCAAAGAAGAGATTCTAAACTCAGCTTATTTTTGAAAATGAAATTACTATAACTCAGTACCAATGGACTGGTTTGGATTTCTTTGCAACCAAAGCAACATAGCAAGTTTCATACTGGAAGTTCAAGATAACAGAAAATGCCAATTATGGGAATCATGAATACAAAGGTTCTGAACTCTGTGTGATACCAGTTACCCTTAAAATGGGCAAAGGTTCCAAAAAAAATATAATTACATATTCATGGCAAAAGATCTCGGTAAAAGAAAATCTCATTTATATTTCCAACTACTAGAAATACTATGTATTTGTTAATGCCACATCACAACATAGAAGATACACCAAAAAATAATTCTAAATTCTTTGAGCAATGTGGCAGAACAGTCGGATGAAACTGCTATTTACCAGGACATTAACTAAATGCACTTCAAATTCCACAGTGTTATCTCACTGCCAGGCAATAATTCAAGACATTATCTTTAATACTATATGTGTAGCAATTAAGATTATTTTTTACCTTTTCATATCACAAATCAGTCTGTTCTTCTCCTGGACCACTCGCCTATGGTGCATCCGATGGAAGTCTCGTTCTTTCTGCATTTTCAGGAGAGCCTCTTTTGTTTTACTGTGTGTAAAAACAGAAAATGCAAGAGAAGTCCTATTAATTACATCAAGCTATGTTGAATAGATATAGAATTATTTGTCAGATGTGCACATGCCTACTGTATCCAAGTTGGAAGTTTTTGCTAATATACTCTGTGGTGGAGAACATGTACTTTTGAGGTCTTCTCGCTGCCAGCTGAGGCACAAAGCCATGGGAGCTCTTCCCCTTTCCTCAGATCCTTTAGACAGAATCCATTAGGATTCTGGCATTATAAATCTCAGAATTGAGGTCAACTTTAAACACAAGGAGTTTCATGGATGTACATATTCAAGTTACAGGCAATAAGAAAACAATACTCTTGTTTAAAATCCTGCATGAAAGTGTATTCATAATACTGATAATATACTGAAAATACTGATTTCTTAATGTCTACATCACATCTGGAGCCCAACATTGGCACATGCTGAAAGGACACATACAGAAGGGTAACTGTATTGCAGCCTTGCAAATACATTTGGAGAGTCTTCTGGAAAAAGTTGGGCTAGAAAAGTTTTAGGCTCTCTTCAATCATGTTTGTAACCTGTACCCAAGTGTTCTCTGGATGGGACAGAGGGAAGCAAAAGGAATCCATTTCAAAATTAATTGTAAACACACTGATAACCTGTTATTCTCTAAGCACATTCTACACACAGCCATGGGACACCCTGAGATGCTCCACTCCATAAACATAAAAGAAAACACTCTCTATATATACAGTACATTTTCTCCTTGCCTTCACTGATATGGGTTTGGCAGGAAAGATTAGTAGATGAATTGTTTAATTGCAAAGGAAGCTTGAAATCACTTTGCACAGAAATTAGATATTTGCTTCTTGCAAAAATAAAAGCTCACTTCCTCTGCAACAGGAGTTGAAGAATTAGCAAAACCACTATGATGGGAGTATGCCAAAATCACAGGTCCAGGGAGAACGTCCATAACTGCCAGTGCATTATATTTAATTGTACAAGTAATTTATATTTGCTGTATATGCATTTGCTATATTTATTACCTATACAAACTACCATCTTTATATGTGTACATTTACAAGAGAATTGCTGCTTGTAGCAGAGACCTGAAGAGCACAGTGAAGCACAGAAGCTCAAAGGAGCCGTGGGCACACACATCACATTGTGTGTGCACCGGCACAAACACCAGGAATTGTGAAACAGAGGAACTCAGGATATTGGTATGGGACACAAGGCACAAATTAATGATTCTGCTCAAGCTTCTACGAGCAGCAAAACATTTGAGAGGTAAATGAATCAGTGGTCTCAGGACAGTTCTGTGAAACAGCTCCATCACGATGCCGTGCTCAAACCTGACTTGCCATAAAGACCTTGAATACAAAACCTGCCCCATCAGAGCTCACAGGTGGCTTGTTCCATGAGTAAAAGATGCTGCACCAGCCATAGCAACTACAATATCCATTTCTTTTAGTTAAGATATATGTCAAAGCCTGCAGCTCTCTCCATCTAAACTTCTCTCCAGCAAGTACTTCCATAAAAATAGCAGAAGAGGACAGGGCCCAATAAATCCAAGCAGGTTTTCAAAGGTAAGTTCCATGCCCTGCTCTGAAGATGCTGCAAGTTGTAGCCCTACAATTTTAATTGAAATAAAGATAGTTTTAGAAAACAAACCCCCCTGCTTTTACTCTATCTAGGTTACATGACACTTGGTAGCAAACATGCTGAATGCACCACAAAATGAAACAGATGCATTTAAATATGGTGCTCAACACAAAAAGTGTGCACTTTGTTTTTTCCATTGTATAAGTGGAGAAATATGTGCAGGAATAGTTAGATTTTGGCACAGAAATAGGAGATCAGCTGAGGATTTTATTGCTGGTGTTGGCACTAACTCTAATAATAAATATGACTTCCAGGACTGCTTTATGTTTTGACCATTACTTTGGCTATAAGCTGGGTATTTATTTGTGAGTGTACTCCCAAAAATCAGGACAGAAAGGTACCTGTGAATGTTTATGCTTCCTATCTGATGTTGTGAGCTCCTCAGGCAAAAGCTGTACACAATTTTCATTCCATCTACCTAATAAGTCCCTAAACATTTAAAGAGCTTACAAATATCACACAGTCCCTGTGATTAACACAATTAACATGATACAACATTTGTCTAACTACACATCTAAATAAACAGGCAATACACAGGGTCTGGCCACAGGAAAACAAAAATACGTGCTATTCAAACTATTTTAAATCATCAAATAGGCAGATTACTATTGCTATGAAGTTGGAATTTATTGTCAAAAAATATTACTAGAATATTAAAGAACCAGACATCACTGAAGACAATGAATTAGAATTAACTAGTTTATTATAAGAGTTAAGCATTTTCAGAGTAATTTTTAGATTTTTCTGGCATATTGGAAAGAATACCTATGCTTCCACTGGGGAAATACTGCAGCAGATAACACCTCTTACCAATCAACCAGGGCTCAACTGTAGCCTTCAGGATAAAAGAAAGGGAACACACCTAAGGTACTTGAAACTAGTGTCACACAGCAAACCAAAGTAAAACTAGTTTTGCTTCCTTTCACCAAACAATGGTCACTTTTAGAAATAATTTAAATAAAAATGTGCAGTTTATCCAAACCTTAAGGTAATAACTAGAGGTAGCTATGGAGTAAAAGAATTATGCTGATATTTATTTCTTTTAATGTATGCAGAGACATCCCAAGATGCCTTCAGGCATCGGACAAGCTATAAAAAATACATACTGTATACAGGAAGTGAAGCTAATTCTCTCTTTAAATAATGAAATACCACAGTGAAATGTAACCAGCCTGCAATCTACTCTATCTGCCCACCTGCTTGCATGCAATCATGTAAATACTGTATTAAAATACCTAAAATACAATTACAGTTAGCTTCTAGACACTAAATCTCTTCCATCAATTACCAAACAACATTAAAGCAGGAGGTAATTGGTTTACAGTCATTTATCCTGGGCCCCCATACTGCCTAAGTCCCAAATAACATCTCTTTTCTGCAAGATGGTTGTCAAGAGTACCAAGCTCAGAAATATCAAATGTAATTAAAAGCTTCACAGCACTGTAGCTCTCAATCAATGTTTTCTGACTAATCCACAGAGGAAAATATGAGACTTTCTTTGCTCACAAATCCCTGGTTTCTACCCAGTCAAATCAGCAATTCCTTAGTGCTCTTAAGCATTCTGTTTTCTGTGTAATTCTCTGTCAAAGAGGGAAACTCAAAACGTCCTCCAGGTAATTTTGGCTCCTGCTTGAAATATTATCTTTACCACAGCAAAGGTACTGACTCAAGTTACTGAATATATGAACAAGGAAAAAAATGCTGTTAACAGTCACTACACTAAATGGATTTAGTATAGAGTATTATGAGCTGGGTTTATGTACAGCAAAAATGCTCCATTTCACACATTTCAACAACAGTGCAACACTACTGGTTTAATTCATATATGATTCAAAACAATTGAAGTGAAATGAATGTCACAAGTGCTGAACTTTTAAAATTAGTATCAGTGAGAACTTGGTAAGTTATTTGAAATAAAAAGGGTGAAAAGTGATGCAGTGACCGTAAGTACAAACCAAGTTTCACACCCACATTTACCCCATTCTAGTTTTAGCTGACAATCTGTGAAAATAAAGCTCTTCCTCTGAGGAGAAAGGAGCACTGGTTTTAGTACTCTTTGAACAAGGTACATGCAGATTAAGTGCACTGTGTAACAGCAAATGCCAATGAAGGAAACTTCTAATTTGTGTCATGCAGAACTGCCCTGTATCTCAGTGTCCTCTCTGGAATAACAAGCCAGGGCCATGACCCATTTGTTTGCAACCAGAGCATTGCTACTTCAGTTTTCATCAAACACTGGAATGTGAAAAAACAGGGCACAATTTCATTTCATGGACTGAAGCCGAGTGTTGGGACTTTTATTTAACAGACAGGCTGCAGGAACCCAACACATGGGCCATGTCTTTTCCCTCTCCTGCTTTCTTCCTGCTGCACCTTATCATGTCATCTTCCAGCCTTTTAGCTAGACATCTGCTAGAAAGGCTTCCTGGCATCCCATGGAGTACAGAGATATTCTTACGGGAGAAAAACAGCTCATTCAGACCACAGTGAAATGTTTTTGAGCTGTATGTTCTTAAACAGTCGTGTAGGAATGCAACAAACCCAGAAAAACTCTTATCAAGTCATAATCCACTCAGATTATCTTGTTACAGCATGTTCTGCTTCATACAGGGGGCAGGGGGTGGGGAGGGGGAAGAAGAAAGCAAAAAAAAAGGGGGAAAAAAAGACAATAAAACTTGTTGAAATTACTCCTGACAGTAATAAATTTCAGGAGGGTCACATTTTGTATGTCCTTCTTTCACCATGCATTACTGCTTCTTACTCTCCCCCACTCATATGAGACACAATCCTTAAATATCCATCGTCCAAATAAACTGCAGATAAAAGTAATAAACGTTTTCTATATCGTCTGTCTCCCAGTGTAACTACACAATATCTGCTGCTGTTTACTTAACTACTTGACTATGGCCAATTAATTTATTCATTTAAAATGTAATAAATCATTATAATCAGAAAATAATTTAATTATCGTTATCAGCAGCAATGATTATTTAAGAACTGAATAGTTATTTTCATATAAAGGAACAATCTAGATGAGAATTAGAAGCTTGAGCAATCTTGAGGAAAACCAAAAAGATAAGAGTTATTTTTTTACAGTTCTGTATTTTAAAACCGGCAAAAGTGAATCGAGTGCATCATTAGGTCTGAGGGTACATTCACGTGCAGATGAACCATTCTCCAGAAAAGGCCAAGTGACATGGAGTTCATTATCACATCTCTCCATCCCATAGGCTAAATACTTTAACTCTTTATGACTGAAGTACAGTTGACTTATAAAATCAACTATTACAATGTACCCACAAGCATAATGAAAGATGGTAATTCACATTGATACCCCATTACCACTAGGGCCAGAGTGACAGATTTTCTGCAATTAAAAAAGTGTATAGTGATTTTTCTCCTATGCTGAAGGTTTGTGGTAGCTGTAATTTATAGTACTGTAATACAAAATACATATTTATTTTTTACTTCTACCTATTAGACTCTCACAATTCTCCACAGCAATTTATTGTGATTACTGGATATTAAAATTTATTTTTGACCCAGTAAATACAAACAAAAGAAATAAAGATTTACATTTCTAACAGAACTCAGAGAAACTTGAACTTCAATTATAAATGTCACCCAGAAGTAAAAATAATTGCAGCCAGCATAACAAAGAGGCACCTACTATTTTTTACTAAGTACTTGAGTTTACTTTATCTAGCTGTTTACTACCATACAGAAAAGTTTCAATATAACCAAATAACATACTTGGCAGCAAGTTTGTAGTTTTCCAAATCTTTCTTCAAACTCATATTCTCAGCCTGCAGTTGCTGGTTGTGGGTGTACACAGTTGGAACCAACCCAGCATCTTTGAGCGTGAGCACACCCCTCTCTATGAGTTCATACCTAGGAGAAGAGAAACAGGGATTTTATTCCACATTTCCATTTTCTCACTTTATTGATGTCTGCCTTCTCATGCTACCATTTACCTACAGTAGAATCACAAGGATATTTATCACCTCAAGGCATTTACCTTCTATGATCATTAACAATTCACAACAGTATTATCCCACCACATTGTTCTATTTTACTGCTTTTCATTCTAAAATGTGTATTGTTCATAATAGTCATGACATATAATACAGTACTTAAAATTAAACAGTTTTTCCTTTCCTTTCTTTTAAGTAGCTTAAACAAAAGACAGAAACAAATGTTCTTTTTCAAATAACATTTGTCCTTTTTATCTTATATGTTTAAATATATGCAAGATTATTTTTTTTAGTACTCAAATAAGCTGCAGATAGCTCAGAATCCGTGATCCTCATTATCTTGAGCTTGGAAAACAGAGCTCATCTAGGGAGATTTCTTCATTCCTTCCTGTTTACTTATTTTCCATCTCCTTGTTTAATTATATTTACCAATATTTACCTATTTTACCAGCCCCTGAGAAAACACGATTCCGTGACGTAGAAGCCTGAAGGCTGCTTTAGTTAAATACTTGTACAGACTGACTTGGATTTTGAGAAGTAAAAGAGAATCTGAAGCAGCCTGTAATGCTGGGGAGCAACACAGGAATCTCTACGGCCCCAGCAAGAAAATCCACTCACTGAGTATCATATTATAGGACCATCCATCTTGGGGCAGTTTGTCAGCAAAAGCTAAGGACACAGGACAGACAGAGTGAGACCTCAGCCATGCCATCAGTTCATCACAGGTTGAATGGAGTTATAACTAACTTAAATCAGACAAAAACTATAACCCCAGCAGGGAAGATGCTCCTGGTGAGAACTTACTAGAAGGATCAATATGAACATTATTTGCCTTCTCAGGTGAAAAATACATTCAATCTGTGCTTTATTTGGTTTCCAAGTGATAAGGGAGTATGAAAAGAACAGCAGTAGACAGAAATACAAAGTATATTAAGTGCTATCTCCCACACCTGGGCAATAGCAGCTGATCTGAAACCCGAGGCCAGTAAGCACAGCATTCCTTGATCATAATCATGTGGCACAAACCAAAAGCATTTATAGAACAAGGGATTCTTACTTGACAAGCAACATTTACTTAACATCCCACAAAAAACTCAAGCATAACGTTAGTAATTCTGTCCAAATGACTTCCTACAGTCATCTACTTATCTGCATTCTATGGATAGTTCTAGGAATGCTCATCCCTATGAATTAAGCTGTCACATTCACCACCACTAGATGAAAGGTTTTTGAAAAATTAAACTGAACACATCCAAAGCAAAATTCATTCTATCATCACTTCATTTTCTTAAGTAAATTACAGTAGGAACAGACTTTAATACCAAGAAAGAAGCTTAGTTGTTTGTTTTTTTCAAATAAACATTGACTGATGCACAGGTACAATTCCTACCAGAAATACTGCAAATAAGGGCACCTCTGATGGCAGAAAATAACAACTCTACGTGCTCCTTAGCTTGTCACTGAATGCCTTAACTACACTTTATGAAAACCATCAAATTTCTGCCTGAAGACTCAAACACGGATAATTGATGAACTTTGACTCCAGCAGAGCTAAGAACCCTGAAAGACAATTTCCATGAAACACAATTAATAGCAATAAACTCACTACGCCCTTGTCTAAGAACACTCCTAAAAATGAATGCTTTGTGCATGTAGCAGAAATGGAAAACCACACAACAAACTGCACTGTGAAAATCTCATTATCTTTAATCAACCTAGTCCTGTAAAACTTACAGACCTCCTACATACCGAGCCAGCTGCCAAAGAGCTCTTGTTCTCACTTCTTCCCATTACACGTGGAAATTAAATTAGTTCTCTGCACACACAGGTATTTTACTCAGCTTTTCAGAACTGCTGAGTTATTATTCTTGAATTGCTATTTAGAATTAACAAATAATCTGGGAACTAAAGAACAGATGGTTACCTATGATTTTGTGATCACAGCCCAGTGCAGACTGACTAAAAATATGTTATTACTATAAACATTACATTATAACTCCCAGAAACTTGAATTCAAAGGAATCGTGTAGCAGAGAGACCCTGGGATAAACTAACTGATACCTAACTCAGAATATCCCCTTACCAAGGGACAGCTCACCTAGAGATGCTCTCAGGGATTAAAATCTCAACTTTTAGGTTTTACAAGAACTTCTCACTGAAAATTACAATCCAAAGAGATGACAAAACTACAGTTTCAACAGAAGGCTAAGATATGAGCACAGTGAAAATAAAGCATTTATTTAATGGAAAATTAGATATTTAAAAATTAATTTAAGTTTAAAGTTCATTAAAGTATAACTGGAAGAAAAAAGTTTATGTGCAAAACAACTTACATAAGTTTAAAAAACCCAATCACCAGAAGTGTGATAAAAGTATTCATTACTTCATAGAAAAAAGTGGGTTTGGTTTAAAATGAAACATTATCAAATCACATTTTATACAGCTGGATAGAATAACAGAATGTTTTCCCAAACTCTGAAATAAACACAGATAATTTAGTCCAATTTAAGTGACCTTTAGATCTCAGACAGACAATAATTTCAAAGCAAGCCTTTTGATAAATTTTCTCTACATTAATTAATTTCTCATTTTAAATTCCATTAGTACTTGATCACCACAGCATGAGAGCAAGACTGTCATCCCAATACATAATGAGGAACCCAAGTACACTAATCTGCTCTCACTTTCATTAATATTGTAAATTATCTATTTCAAACCAACATGAAACATTTTGAAATAAGGTATTAATGCAGAAAGTCTCAATACAGCAAGATTAGACACTGACATGCTGAGCTCATTTGTAAAACTACTGAAATTAAAAATATTACTTATAGAGAAAAAATATATGTATAGCTAAGGATTTACAAGATAGGGCCTGCTAAGACCTGCACTTACTCTGTTAAAAAGCAATTTGAATTTTGCCATTGATATAAATTCAGACTAAGTGCTTCGAAGAAAGTCGTAGCTTCATAAAAAGGTCACTATTTATATCTGTCTAGTATTAATTATCTTTTAGCATAAAAACTGTTAAACTTTAAACTTAATGCTATTCATGTAAGCTCTTTTGTTGAAAAAGAATACAGAACTATAGTGTTCCTTTCTCCAAGGAATCACTGAAGTCCATTGTTATGCTATCAAAAAGCTGATCATCATTAATTCCAAAGGCAATGCCTGACTGGTGAGCTCAACACAAGTAAGACCAGAGCCTTGCAAATGACAGCAATGATTCCCCCATCACAGAATATTTCTAAGAAAATTTAAAAGCTTCAGGGGTTTTGTAGGAAAAAATAAGATGTTTCTAACTTTTGCTAATTTTCAAATTATACAGTTTCAAAAGACCTTATTAAAAAAAAAAATATCTGAACTCATGTTTAAAGACTGACTACAAAGTAATTCAAAGAGAGGTATTTCCACATTTCAGAATTTGTCCAAGGTAACCTGCAGATTCAAAGCAACCTTGTAACTCAGAGTATTTTAACAGAACTTTGGCAAGTGTCATCTTTTGCTCCTAAAAAATTCAGCTCCCCTCTCAAGCTTTGCAGCATTCCTTGCACATCATTTTTAATCAATATTAACAATATACATCCTGTGGGAATCCATATATGAAGGGAGTGAAGAGTTGTGTACTTAAACAAACCTGCATGTTTAAGCTTTGCACAAAGTATGACAAAATTTCTGAAATCCATAAAAGCTTGGAAAAAGAAGACAGCAACAGCTCAAGAGTTTACTCTCCTGATTAGTGTATGAATTAAAAAGAAAACTAAACCAACCCTATTATATTGACTGATGTACCAAAAATGACCAAGTATCAAATATTTTGATTATGCTACTTAAAATAGAAGGGAGCTGTGATAAATGCACAAACTCACTCAACTAAGATGCAAATACTCCAGCATACAACAAACTACTCATCCTTAAGCAGACACTCATGTTCTGGAAAGCAAGAAAAATAACAAACCACGATTTCTCGGCAGTGCTGAAGTGAAATACCAGTCCTTTTGCACTGGACTCCTTTGATCCCCTGGTAATTTGTGCACTGTGTCTGCTTTTAGTTTTTGTTGGTAGACAGTGGAGAGCATAACATACTAGAAAAAATAGAATTGACTTTGTTTTGTCTTAAAGGAGATGGCTCAGAAGGAACTCAGATGAGTTGTACCCTGAAAAGGAATACTTCTCTTCCCTGTTCACAAAAGGCCTCAGGTGACAACTTCAGGCTTCTAAATATCTGGATTTTGGTGAAATGCATACATTCCTTCAAAGGTACCTGTTTAGGAGCTCCCTGGAGTCAGCTTTCCTCAAAGTCTGTCCTTAAAACAGGAGTTTGCATCCTCATTCTCACTATGAATATATTTACTTGTAAAAACACTACACATTTAAGATGGACTTGTACTCAGGAGAGTTTTCTGAAAATATAGCCTGAAATACTGAAAACATTTGAATCCTGAGCATCTAATTCCCAAAGTAGCATGGTCACTTAAATTATTTTACCATTCAGTTTGGAAGCAGTCAAGGGTTCTGGACATTCCCAGTCTGACCAGGAAATTGCAGAAGAAATCATCCATTGCTTCAGGTACTTCACACACTGATTTCTCCAAAGTCAGAACTGATTCTGAAGTCTGAAATTAAATTTTGATAACTGTTATTAAACTTACAAGAGAAACGTCATGATCATAATTTCTATTTCTGAAGTCAACTAAAGTTACAGATCTACTGGAGTACAGCTAAATGTTTCCCTTGTCTTTATGGATCAGATGTGTAATCATTGATCCTTCTAATGTCAAGGTTTGTGAAAGGTTAGAAAGAAAACTCAAAATCCACCTTATTGAAGCAAGTATTCTGAACCTGACACAACGTGGTAGAGACTTGAAAGTATCATAACTGATGGATGATCTGTCACTTACCAGAGACAAAATGTTAGTTCTTATACTCCTGCACCCTTCAGTAACCTCCACAACTATGGATGAAAAAAAACTCATCTAACAGAAAATGTAGAAGTCCACAGTGACAGTAAAATGGCTTATACTCTTTCTGTAATGATGCAAGCAATGGAGAGACAGGAAAAACTGCATCTCCACCACTAGATTTCTTAGCAATAAGTCTCAAAGATCAACTCTCTTCTCTCAACATCCCTATGAACACTGAAGAAGCTGCCAGACAACACTGCTACAAGTGTTAGCAGAACGCAGATGGTGCTCCAAGGCTTCACATGCAGCTCCTCCAGCACCATCAAGACAGACAGCCCTGCAGACAAGGTCAGCTCATGGGTCAGGCACAGTTGCCAAAAGCAGAATCAAAACAAAACAGAGCAATCCTAATACAGAGAGAAAAAAACCTGTCCCTTCCACAGCTTTCTGTGGCAATGCAAATCTCCCTTCACCCAACCCCATTCAGCCCACTCAGCACACAGCTTGATATGCAGCTCTCCCAGAGAATGCAAGACCCAAGGAGGTATTGAAAAAAGGAAAAATGGAACCCAGTCTGACATTACTCCCCACAAAATGTGTTTAGAGATAACTAGATGAGAGAGACTGCCACGGCCCAACAGCCAAGGAGGTGGCCATCATTCTGAAATCAAATGGATTGCAGTGACTTGACATACCTCAATATGAGGGTCTCTGCATTTGGGATCTCCACATGGGCACAAAACCACACTGGATCTACTCAGCAATGCAGTTACTGGGACAAGCTACTGCACTGCACGTGCCTCTCAGTGAGAGACTATAAAAAATGCCACAAAACTGAAAAAAGTTCCAGTGAGAGATTTATCAAGACATGCTAAAGGGTGAGACTGCAAATCATTTCCTCCACGCATTTAAAAAAGGATCTGTAGGCCAGGGATTTCTGATAAGACCATTCATTTATGGCTTATTCATGCCCTTAGTGGGAGCTCTATCACCAGGACTGCATAAATTACCTGGAGATAAAGGTATTTCTCTTGATAAAATAAAAACACTGCAAAGATCTCAAAGCATTTTGTGTAACACAGAAAACGTTGCCTTCAACCCAAGCAGCCTACCTCACATAAACAGGAAGGACTGTGCATGTACAACTGAGGCCATTAACACTGCATTATGACTGATACAATGTGCCAAGTGCAATGTAATATTTAGCATATTTTCATTACTGGAACTCCAGTACATCAGACAGGTCTATTTTCTAATTGTGGTGATAGAAGAACCAGAGAGTTCATGGGCAGACATGCAGCTACATCCCTTGGCTTGCTTTTTTCCTTTCTTTGTTTCAAGTGAGGCAAATGTTGCTTGTAGTTTTCCAAACCTATCTATAAAGCTGGTCTTCAGAAGAAGTGACACAGCTTGATTCCATTAATAAATGGAAATATGATAGGAATTCATTCCATCCATGCAGAAGAGAATTTATTAGCTAAGGTACCAGCACTGAGAATCATCCCAGGAACCAAAGCTCGAGTGGGGAACAATATAAGGGAAAATGAATTCAGTGTAACAGGCACAGTTATTGGAACAGGGCCTCTGGAAACCAGAACTTAACTCCTGGCTCTTCTGCAGACTTTGAGAGTGATACTGGGCCAACCACTTGCTTCATTTCAATTGTAACCATGGATGACTACCAATAGAATGGAATAACAGTCATTTTTTTGTACATATTTAGCTATTTGTAAATGAGGAAAATACAATCAATGAATATAGTGCAAATAGACATCCTATAGCAGCTCTATGGACAAAACCACCCTGTTAAAGATTCTGACCATGAAGTCAAAATAAACTAAATATTTGCTTTGTTAAGTATTTGTTAAATATGTCTTTGTTTTAATTAAAATATTGAAAACATTTTGGGCATAAGGACTCTAACTATGGCCAGTAAAATAAATTAATTGCTAAGAGCTTAACCTTAGAAACTTTCACAATACTCATAAGAATTTCTGACCACTGAAGAAATGTGAATGTCAAATAAATTAATCATTTCTCTGGAAAACAAGATAAGATATCCTTGAAAAGCTAACTAAATTTCAAAAGAATTCAAGGATCTTAACACCTTCAAACAAGTTAAAAATCAAACACACATGAATGTCAATGTTACTTCAGATTATCATTTAAGACATTAAGGCTCTGGAATAGATGTCTAACAGCTGTAACTACTGAAGACAGTTTTCCAACCAGCTTTCTTCTCTGTGTGTGGCTTTACAGAAATTCTGGATCCTTTTCCTAGGGTCCCTATCAGCCAAATATTTTCTTTCATATAGGTCAGGTCAGGAGTTACAGAATATTCTGAGTTGGAAGAGACCCACAAGGATCATCGAATCCATATGCAAAATACTTTTTACTTGTGTTTAAAAATAACATATATTACCTTAAATCATCTCAAAAACAGAAAAAAACCTAATGAGTTGTGCTCAAGAAGGACAAGTGGTGACTAGAACAGGCAGAATCACTGCTTTCCAATGCATGTGGTGTCCAGCACAGCTGTATTTTGAGTCAGCTGCCATTTTACCACCAGACTAAAGGTAAATGATATTTGGAGATTAGAGCTCCATCACCCTCATTTCCCTGTTGGGATCCAAACAAAAACATGAACCAACTGCTAAGGGAGCCTCACCAAAGTCCTTAGACACCAGTAGTTTCCCCACACCCATGCAGAGACCCAGAAGCAAAGAAAACATGCTTCAATATCCCCTGAGGAAAAGCAGCTCTAATGCCTAGACACCAGTTTTATTCTTGCTGAAGGCGAACAGCACCATCTCTCATTTGCTTTGTTTGCTCTTCTTCATTTAGTAAGTAGTGCTGATTACTTTAGAAGGAACTTTGAAAATAAGCATTTTTCTCAGGTTTTCCCTGTTATACTTGACCTTTTTATGGAGCATAAAAGAAACTGCACTGACTCAGTTTAGAAACTGTGGATATTTTTAGTATCTGCAGTTGGAAAATATATTGGATGGTCACTTGATCTGTGCCTTCTCTATATAAATTTCTTCACCAAAGATTTGCATCTAGCATTGAAATGCAATCTTTAATATGGGATTACACATATAAATTATTATGAACAGCAAACATACACAATCACTTAAAACTATCAGAGCAGCTATTCCAGGATATGCTTGTTAAACAATTTCACCTATTTTAGCCAAAATTACAAGCTTGTAACTGAAAAAACGTACCATGTTTATTTATGCTGTGAAGAAGACAGCCTCCTGCTGTGCTTCTTAGCTCAGAGTTTGGATGTTGATTCAATATTCATTCACAGAAGACAGTGCTTCTAACTCAGGTCACCGAAAGCATTTGCTGCAGCATTTGGTTTTTCCAGTGAATTAATATCAAACAACCCAGTCACTGAGCCCCACAAAATATACAGTAAATCGTTATGAAAGCTGTCAAGGAACTAGCAAGTGTATTAGAACATTTTTCTATTCACGTCTTTCTCTCCAAAGGCTGAAAATATTATTTCAGTTTCAAGATGATGGAAAAAATGAGGCCTCCAAATAACAAGTCAAGCAGTAAGAATGCAAACATCTATTAGCATAAACTCAAAATCAAAGGGAATTTGGGTCTGAGCACACACGTTCTTCCGAGGTTTTGAGGAAAGGTGAACAGTTTCTCCAGTTTGATTACATGGGATACACAGAACACACCGTTTCCTCCCACTCCGGGTGCAACAAACCAATGAAGAGGTAAAAGACTACTTTAAACATATCACTGTCAAAAGATCAATAGGTTAAAAATATTCTTTCTTTTTTTTCCCCACTTTCTATTTTAACTCACACAGTAAAACAATCATAACCTCAGTTATCCCTAAAGAACACAAGTTTCCCCTACTTCCTTAACATCAAGCATGTTCAGTCTCAAACACTTCTGCCATATTTCCATTCATTTTCAGGCACATTCAGTTTCAATACACATAAAACTCTGGTATTGCCAGTTTCCATTCCAACTTTGATCTCAAATACAAAACTGATCTGTTGATAGGCACTAGTGCAGAAGAAAATGCACGTTTTCCCCTCCATTTTGATATTAAGAATCATTCACTTCCTTTGATCTTTCCTCTATTAATCCTTTACTTTTGCAAAACAAAGACTATGACTGTACCTTTCTGATGAGGCTACAAGACAGTGGTGATATTAGAAACACAGCAGGGAAAAGCACTTTTCCATTAGATTGTTATAATCTAGTAAATCCAGGTAAATCGTATTTTGAAAAATGCAATATATAAATCCCATTGTGTAGCTCTAAACTGTGACATGAGTGCTTTGAAATCAAACTGTAAATGTAAGGAATGTCAAAAAATAACGGTGTGTAATGACAGATAATTAATATTTTGATTTAAGTGTAACAATCCATTCTTTGTTTTTAATATATGAATAAGCCCTTTTAGCAAAGTATTCCAGTAGCACCTTTTGTGGGTCTTAAGCATATGCAGTTTCCTTCCTGCACCAGGGATCACATTGTCATTCAATCTACTCAGATAAAGAACAAACCCTAAAATGCTGATGCACTGTAAAAAGATTAATATATTTTAAATAATCCATCTATATATTTGCAATATCAGGATGTTTATGGAACATAAAATGAACAGAAATAAAACCCAGGAAACTTGTCTTTTCCACCATGGCATATGTTTACTCCTAGAAACTTAGAAGCAAATAAGAAACAATCTTTCTTACACAAACATATAAAAATTCATATAAATTATGATGTGTACATTTAAAGCCACTAATGCAAACTGAATTACAGACTCTAAAAAGGTTTAGGAAGTTCTTACTAAAATTTGAGCATCTTCAGCCTGCTCTTGAACAGCCTGTAAAGCCTTGGACAGATCCTCATCCTCCTCCTGAAGACTAAATTCATCATCTGCAGAAACCTAAATGAAATTATGTAAACTTTGGTATTAACATATTTTATACATCTTTCTTTCACAGTACAACTGTTCCCACTCCCAGTACAACCACTGAAAATAATCCCCTTCTTGTTAAAATACCACTTTGCTATATTTAAATAGAATATATATTACTGAAATATTCATTATAAATTATCTGAAGCATCTAAATAGAAATACCTGCATCTTAAAAAAAAAATATTTAATGTTCAAATAAAAGTATTACATAACAAATCAACCAAGACTAAATCTTCCCTTGTAAAATGAGTGCATGCCTACCATCACCACACTTTATGAAAGGAGATTCATGTCATTTCTCCTAGGATGTTTACGTGACTGATGAAGTAAAATAAAACAAAGATACACAAATACCAAACATGTCAGAACATTATGCATTTATAAGTTACCTCTTCACACTGATAATCATCTTTAGAATCATCTGTTATGGTAATGTCTGCAGGTTTTGCTAAGTCTGAAACAGCTGATGCATGTGATGAGTTCCAACTTAGGAAAAACCATCATAAACCAACCATCTATAAAGCTGTTCTCACCACCTTCACCCTTGTTCAACACAAGACTTTCAACTTTCAAGGCTTCTTTCAGCCTTGAGGTGAACAAGCCCAGCTCCAGTGAAAGCTGTGTGCAAAGAGACAGAATTTAGGCTTAAGTTCTTACAGCAGGTTTGAAAGTCATTAAAATTTGACCCATCAGATCTCCCAAAGTCCAAAGCCAAGCACTGTTCCAAGTTAAAACAGCAGCTAAATTATGCTCTCACCCAACCATCAGTTTTGAGAGGGGTCTTGCAGCACTGGGACTGCCACAGGCTTTATGCTTCCCAGCATAACTAACTTCATGCTCTCAGAGAACAACCTTTTTAGCAAATTTGGATGTACAAGTTCAAACACGAACATTTGAGACCAAACTCTAACGAACCATTTACCAGAGGTGATACAAATGCCTTAATAATCACAACACATCTGCAAGGACCTTTCAAAATGTAAAAATTCATTTGGAAATTATCTACGGTTCCTTCAAATGCTTTAAACTTTTCACAAAAAACCACTATGAATAGTCTGAAATGAAACCCAAATAAACATCTTTTCATCCACTAGCCTCACAGCCCATGAAAGCACAATGAAATGTTTTTAGCAAGATGCTGTTTGTTGACAGTTTCCCTAGGAAATCAGTTAGCCTACAAGTGACTCATGTAAATAAACCAGGAATTAACTTCCAAAGAAAAGCTGGCAATTCAGTACTTCACACATAGAGGGGAAAAAAAACATGATTTTCCAGCTTTGCACCAAGTTGCTTAAATCTGAATTATTCTCCTAAAAAAAAAAAAATGGCCTCTTGCCGTAGCTGTCACACTCTGCAGTTCTCCCACTACAATATATACGTAAAGATACAAAATATATGTCAAATTATCATCTGCATTGAAGACCCCATGATCACAGCATCAGGAAACTATCAGTTCAATTCTATCTCTCTCCAAGGTGAACAGCTGAAGGTCATAATCCCCTGATAAGTAAAAAACTTTCAAATTCTGTGGGTTTTTTCCTGAATTTTCTACTGACCTGACTGTCCTTGTGATCCACTATGGTCTAAACTAATATGTCATTGCAAACACCGTGCATAGACTAAAATATTACTTTAAAAATCCTGGGCTTTTTTACCTTTTTTTTCAAATATTATAGTTAGGTGCACAATAAAACAGAGCAATTACTTTTAAAAACTACTGTATTTCCCAACAAAGAATATAAAATCTTACTTTTAAGCACATGTTCTGAGGCAGTGCATTTTTAAGCACACCACAGTGAAAACAGCTGTGCTGTTTCACTAAAGTAGAAACTGAGGCACAAGCTGGAAAAGGACATTCCTCCACTTCTTTAAGTTATCTTTATATTGGCTTACAACTTAATTTTACCAAGGCAAGAAAAAACAATGTACAGCAGGGTGTAACATGATTCTTTAGCCTCTAAAACAAAGCTTGAAAAAGCTTCTTGATTTGCAGCTCGCAGCTAGAAAAGTGAACAGATAAAGTTCATCTCACAAAACTAGGATTTGGGTCATCTGACCAAAAAAATGCACATTTGAAAGCCATAAACTCCCAAGATAATTTCCTACAACTCAAATGTGATAAGAATCAGGGGTTTTTTGCTCTAAAAGCTACAGCAAACAAAGTTGCATCTAGTTACTGTATCACAGCCCTTATAACTTGGTCATACTCAGTACAAACTTCATGAATATTCAGGCATTTACTTTGTGGTAATATTTGGGAATTAAAGAGCACCTTTTCCAGGAGCACATTGGGACAGTCTCAATAACAAATCTTTCGCTCCTCCATAGGTATTTCACATTTACTGATCAACAGCTAACACAGAAGAGGGGGTAAGAGCCTTTCACGTCAGGAATTTAACCCTTGCTCTGGCTGCCCCATCAGCACTGGAGGATGCAATTCCCGGCTTTCCCAAAGGGCACTCAGGGACCTGAGCTTCAGCCAGGAAAGCAAACACCGGGTTACAGTGAGCAGGACCCCACTGCCTCTGCAGGGTCAAAACCCCAAACCCCACATATTCACTGAATCGTTAAGGTTGGAAAAGTCCCCTAAAACCATCCAGTCCAACTGCTGACCTACCACCACACCCTTAAACCATGTCCTCATGTGCCACTTCCACACGGGTTTTTTAACACCTCCAGGGATGGCAGCCCGTACCAGGGCTTGACAACCACTGCAATGACGACATTTTTCCTAATATCCGAACTAAACCTCCCCGGCGCAACTTCAGCCCGTTTCCTCTCCTCCAGCCCCTTGTTCCCTGGGACAGATCCCGGCCCTCCCCCGGCTCCTCCCTCCCGTCGGGGAGTTGGAGAGACTGAGAAGGTCCCCCCTGATCTCCCCCAGCTCCCTCAGCCGCTCCCAATGCTCCAACCCCTTCCCCAGCTCCCCTGCCTTCCTCTGGACACATACAGCCCATTTTCAGTTCCGAGGGACAAAAACCCGCAAAAAGAACCAACAAGGCGGTGGGATTTTTGGGTTCCCCCCGACCCTTACTCTTACACTCCCCCTCGCCCCGCCCGACATCCCCCCAGCAGCCGCCGGGGCCGCCCCGCCTGAGGCGGGTGGAGCGCTGAGGAGACGGAGCCCCTGAGGAGGGGAACCGGCACCCCCAGCCGAGGAGAAGGAGGGTGAGGAGGAAGGGGGAGAGGCTGGGGAGGAAGAAGGATACTCTGCAGGCAGAACGCCGCCTCAGAGCCGGCCGCCTCCGCCATGGCCGCGGCGTTGCCGGGGGCGACCTCTCGCGAGGAGAGGCGCTCACGCCGCGGCGGGAACAGACCCCCGGTTTAATTTAATTTAGTGCAATTCAATTAAGCTTAAGTTAAATCAGCTGTTTTAGCTCGAGGCGAGGCTCCCCGCGAGTTTGGGAGCGGCGCCGCGAGGGGCGCGGTGTGAGGGCGGGGAGTCTCTGGAGGTTTCCAGGGCGTTCCCTCGGGGCCGGCACCTGTGACCCCTCTGGTAAACACTCACTGCCCTTCCTAAAACGAAGGAAAACAACAGGAAATGTGGAGGAAACGGCTTCAAACTCCTGAGAAGGGACTAAATGCTTCTTTAGGGAGAGCATCTGTGTAGCTGGAACAGGTGTTAAACCTGAGCTCAGTCTTGTAGGACTGAGTGGTTAAATTAACTCCCTTCAAACTATTCTATAATTCTGTATTCAAGTTTAAGAGCAAGAATTTTCCCAGGCAAAAGTTGGGGAAAGCGGCTTGTATTTGTGGAGAACACACGTTATGGCTCTCTGGAGTTTGAAATAAAGTTGCAGGATTCGACAAAGAAAATTTCTGTTCGTTTTTCTTATTTTAAAATAAGCTTAGAGGTCCCAGTCCTAAATTTTCAACGAGTTGAGTTAAGGGGCTTTACATGCAATAGGAACTCAGAATCAGTGCTTGAATTCATGCAATGTAACAGAAAATAAGTGCCCAAAATATATGAGGGGGGAAAAGTAATAAAAAATGCTAATAGTTGGGCTGACAGGAGAGGCACCAATTTTGCTTGCAAGGTTGAAAAAAAAAATCTAAGAATTGAAATACGAACTGAAGATCAGAGAAAATGGCAGTGGGTGAAACTGGGTTGTATAATTCAGTTCAGTCATTAGCCAGAAAGAGAAGATGCAATCCTGCAAGAGGGCCTGCTGCCTGTGGAACTATTATTTAAGCACTTTCCAGAGATGGTCACACAGGATTGTCATTCCTCTCCCATGGTAGACCTGTTCTTGAGAAATGACGAGTACTTTGGCACTGTCAAACTCTCCAAATTGTAATAAAAGAACAGTGTTTGGGCACAAGATTGTCACAACAGTACGAAGGTGAGCAGAACTTTTGTATTCCCTGATAAATTCTCTCAAACACTATGTTGAGTTTGATACATGTCAGGACTTAAACTCATCTGGTTTCAAGACATGGAGGGCAAATGCTGACAGACCTTTCTTGGTCTTGATGGTTGGTGGTTTGTTTTTTTTATACTCTTCAGAATAAAGTGATGTGACTAGAGCAACACTCTTCCATCATATCCAACCCAACAGAATAGTCCTGAACTCCAGCAGAGCATATAAAAAAAAAATAAGCAGAAGTAGCATCATGAAGTACAACATCCATGACTCGGTACTTCCAAACTGCAGATTTAAAAGCTGATAATGCAGTTGGGATGGCTACAAATGAAGGTGTTATTCTCTTAGGGAAGTTCCCAATTCCACCACAAATCACAAAGTGTAACTTTAATTGTATCATACGGGCAAGCACAGCTGATTATTATAAGTTAATACCACTCACTTCTCTCAGCAACGGGTTTTTTCCATTCTTTGTGTAAAGGCTGACAGCAAACAAAATGCTAAGCAGTATCCTTCTCTCCCTTCTCTGAGTTCTCTGTCTCTGCTGGCCTAACTTTTCCCTACAAATTTTTCACAGGACTTCTCTATCTCACTAAAACATGGAAATGTGTGGTATCCACAATTGAAGAACACTGATGAAAGCTTAAAGAGGGCTCAGAGATGTGCTTGAGGGAAGATTAAGATTAGAAAATAATTAATAATGAAAGACAAAAGGACCTCAGTCTTCTTGGCTTATTGAAGGAATAGTTAAAAGAGCTTGATTAAAGTGCACGGATAATAGGTTTGGTAAGAAATGCTACGCAGAGGTAGAACCAAGAGAGTAGATTTAGATTAGATATTAGGAAGAAATTCTTTACTATGAGGGTGGGGAGGCCCTGGCACAAGTTGCCCAGAGAAGCTGTGGCTGCCCCATTCCTTGCAGTGCTAAAGGCAAGGTTGGACGATGTTTGGAATAACCTGGGATAGTGGAAGGTGCCCCTATCCATGACAGGGCTGAAACAAAATGATCTTTAAGCTCCCTTCAAACCTAAACCTATCTGTGATTCTATGATATCCAGCTATATTGAAAATGAACTCAAAATAAACTACAACTAAAAGCAAAGAGCAGGTTTTTTTACAAATAACTATTTGACTGATTTTCAAGTATAATTCCAGGAGGATTTCAGCAGTCACAGAGTTCTTTATAACAGTTATGTTCCACATTCAGACACCAGCTATTTCAGGACATCCTATGGCTTCCATTTGCAAAACAGTCAGACATGGTCAGTGCAGTGGTACTTTATGAAAAAGATTGAAGTGAGATTACCAATTCTGCCATATGTGGAGGTTTGCCAGTATCCTAAAGGACCCATAGAGTTTATTTGTTTACTTTTAAATAAGAGTCATTGGTCACAGAGTGTTATTTCCCGAAGATTTAAAGCTTTGTTTCAAAACAGTGTTTGGTTGGCAACTTCTAAACTATTTATGTCATCCCATTGTGACTATATAAATGACCTCATCGTACAATCATTTTCCTTCAAGAGGCATAACAAGCCAACTAGTTTCTCTCTACCTTGTTCAGAGCCGCCTGCCATAAATACGTTGTATTTGGTTATTGCTAAGCTGAATTCCGAGCGCCCCATTCACCCTGCTTTATAGCCTCGTAACAGTCTGGGTTATAAATGATTATCATCTCCCAAATGGCAGCAACTAGTGCTGTTACTGTATCCCATAACTTCTCCTGAGAAAGACACTGAAGCAGCATCTGCTGTAGCTTGAGCATTTCATTAGACAGGCTGTTTACTTTTCTCCCAGAGAAAAGGCTGAGCCAGGTGCTTTAGCCAGATCTGTCAGCCAGATAGATCAGCCAGACGAGTCAGACTGTTTGAGAAAGATCATTCATGAAAACTGGATAAACTAGAAGGCTCCAGAAGTGTTGCCTGTGCTCCCAAGCCCTAAGGGCCACGTACTCTTTCCTTTATACCACCACCTGAAAGACTGAAAGGCTATCCTTGAATTCAGAGCAAAATATCTTCTCCTGCTGAATTCAGCAAACAAACTGACTACAATTCTAACAAGCTGAGTTAAAAACCCAGGACACCCATGTGAGCTACTTTCAGTGACTTTCCCTCCTCTGCAGGAACACATCCAAAAAGTCCAGTATATGCACTTCATCACAACAGACAAGCAGCCAGCAAAGAATTATCTGCCCCACTGACTCTCGCACACCCAGTCCTGATTGTTCTTCAGCACGGCTTTTGGGGAGAAAGGACAAGGCAATGTCACCCATTCAGCTTTCTGAACGAGCACAAAGCGTGGCCAGGAGCACTATAACAGCACTATTACCATTACAGTCAAGAGACCATTGTCCACACGGTCATGGTGGAGCACGGGACCACAGCTGGAAGCCAGAATGAGTTGGCAAACATCTTCTTCCAACTTCTGCTGTGCCATCTGGCTTCCAATGAGGTGACTGACGTTAAATGTATTTTCTCTGTATTACCATCTGGCAGCTGCTTGTACAACAACGGAGTAACATGCAGGATTTGGCTAACAGTTATCCTAAGAATCACATCAAGGATACTTGTAACAGACTTGGAAATGAAAATAGCTTACAAGGAAAATTTCGTTAACCGGTGGCATTACACACACAGAGTATTGCAGGTGGGGAACAGGGAGTGGGAAGTTAAGTATACTTATGTTTTGCATGTGTTTATTTTACAAAGTTCCCATAAAAGTTTCTAAGGGAAAGGAGGGGACACCCATGCAGGTTCCCAAAGGACATAAACATTGTAGCCAAGAAAATGTCTGTTGAGAAGCATCAGCATTTTTGCTATGCTGTGGAAATACAGTTACTTTTCCAAAGTTAAAGAGATGCAGTACTTTTTTTTTCCTTTTTTTTGTTTTATTCTAGCTGTAATAATGTATGCCAAAAGTACTTTTGATAAAAGAAGGAAATTTAAGGAATTTGTTAGTACAAACACAGTCTCAAAGAGGTGGTACTTAAACATAAAGTTCATCTAAAAACATCAGGATTGCCAAATGCAGTTTAACTCCAGTATGAAGCATTATAATAATACCTGTAATGCCAAGCCGTCATCTTTATAAAGGTCACATTTGCAAAGCTTAGGGGCCATAGTAGCCTTGCTGAGCTTTAAATGTAACAGAATGGGGTTCTTAAAAAAATGGAGTAGGATTTTCAATAAATATGATCCCATGACAGCTTAAATCAATCAGTTTTCTACTCTACCTCCTTCTGTGCACTCCTGCCTTTTTCCTTGCTCCTGTGCTGGTGCTCATATGATTCTCAAATAATTTAAACCGAAAAAAAAAAGATAATCTGGATGAAATAAAAAAAGAGGGGGTTTAGTTTTGTTGCCTGTTTTGTGGGTTTTTTTAAATGTAGGAAAAGTAACACTAAAATGCCAGAGGTTTGGCAGAGTTAAGCTGAAGTTATTAAATGTATTTTGTCTCTACTCTCTAAGAAGAACATTCAATAAATAAACCTCTGCTACATTTCCAGGTATTTCTATAGATTAGATGTAGTATATATTAGGTCTTATAAAAAGGGGTTTGAGTTGAGATTAGATGAAAGCAAAAATGTCTGTTCCCCAATGCATCAGCACTTTTGCTGATGGTCATTCTTCTGTGCATTTCATTGAAGCATAACAAGCATTAGCTAGAATACTTGTTACACTATTTAATTGTCTAATGCAATAGATTGTTTTCTTTGATGAATTTCTAAAATTCACTCTGGCTTCAATTTCTCACAGCTTTTTCACAAGAAAGAAAGAAAGAGACGATGATGTGCTCAAAACCCAAGGACACGAACGCAAGCAGAAGTACGAGGAGTTTTGACTGCGCTTAGAGAGAAAATTGGGAGTGAATGGTCAAGCATTTTGTCAATAATGCAGCGAGACATCAGTACAACGGGATCACACAGCACAGGGCACAGCTCTGAAGTGCAGGTTTCCCACTGCAGACACTGCTACAGTAATGTATATAGTCCAGTCTGTACACTGCACTGTATAATACAGGAGTTATTTTATCCACACTGACCTTGCTGTTTCCAGGAACTGCAGCCTCCACATCTTTGGCTGTTGTTGCCCTTGAAAACTACCAGGAGCACTGGACAGATAGTACATGTTGGCTCTCCCTGTACTGAATTTGAGGGCATTTCTGCATCACAGATAAAATAAATTGTGCTAAAAGAGGTGTCATATAGTAACTCTTTGTTTTACAAGTGTAAAGTGACCAGTGTTCTCTATAAACCCCAGTTTTATGAACACAAAGTTATTTATGCAGCTTATAGAGACTGATGATCATCTGTTCCTGGTAATTAGAGACTTTTCAGTTAATATGTTCTTCTCCCCTTTGAAATTAAGTTTAGTGAATATGCTTTTCAAATTTATGCCACTTGGACCTCAAAGCAGCTTATACACTCCTACTACAAGCTAAAAAAAACCCTCCCTAACTTTATGTGACAGCTGTAAAAAGAAAAGGCATCCTTAACACAAAGGACCTGAGGAAAAGTGCTGTACTGCCCTAATCTGTGCTTAGTGATAGAGGCAAGAATCGAGATGCCACCATGTCCGAAAATGCATAAGCTAAAGGACAAGCAACACAAAAACAAGCATAAATTATTCCTTTTGCTTATTTTACAATGGTTCCAGGTACTTCGCTACTTGTTACCCAGGGTGATGCATCTTCCCACTGGAAGTCTGAGTCTCACACTAATAATTAGCACATGCCTGAGTAATTTTAGCTGGTTTCCTGCTTGATTTTTTCAGAGCATGTATGTATGTGCACACATTAAGACCACACATAACAAAATTTTCTCTGTCAAAATCAGATTAAAAATTTACTTACAGGAACACATGTAGTAAACCCATAAATTATTCAAAACATGCTGCAACAAAATCAAGTTTTCTCCTTACACCCAGTCCTCTTTATCTGTATTTTTTCCCTGTTGTTGCCCCAGAACATGCTTACTCTTTGCTGCTTTCCTTACTTGGACTCATTCCTTCCTTTTTGCTTTAGTCTTCCCTATTCTGACCAACCATTTCGTGTTTTACCAAGTTTGACAACCCTTGGCTATTTATTCAACACATATTTTCAGAGATAAGCCTAGAATAAACTGTGTATTCTTGTTCTAAGAAAAACAGGAAATTATACCAAATATAAAAGTTCTGAGAGGTCACAGAATTTGATGCAAAGTGGGCAAAGACTATCAGGGGATTTGTGGCCAAAAGCAACATTTGCTACCAGAGTTTTTAGAGACCAAGCATGGAATTTTAACTTCCTCTATTATTTTGTTTGTTGTTAGTGCAGTGTCATTTTTCCACATGGAGAATGCAAAAATATGAATAATTTGAATTCAAATCATCCATCTCTAATCTTCCTTAACTCAGCTAAGGGTGGCAGTATACACTAGTTTCTGTAGATTAATATAGAATGGGAACTGCACGATGTCTATCTCTTTGCTTTGTTATTATTAACAAAAATATAGAACTTCAGGCACCAATTCTGTAAAAATCCAACATTTTGGATAAAAGATTACTAAAAAAAAAAAAGTCTTTACATCCAATACTGATTGCCATTTGTGATGTGAATGAAGCACTTCCTGGCTTTCATTTCCACATACTTCTGATGAAAGCAATAGTACAATATTGACACCCTATACCTAAATGTCAAAGCTCTGCTTTGTGGTTTTTGTAATATTTTGTTTAAATATCGAAGTGCCACAAAATTGAAATCTGGAAATGCTATGTTTAAGTTCTTTCCTTTTACCTTCATATTGTTTATAGCAGAGCCATAACTTTTGCTATCAAGCCATTTGCTCATTTTGGTATAGAATAGAGTGAGCAAATATTGGTAATTCAGCTTCTCAAACTAGACTTAGGTCTCGGGCACCCTGTGTTGACTTTAAGATGCTCAAAGTGGTTTAAGATGGACCAGCTCTCACACTGGAAGCTTAACTTACTGTACATTCTTACTTGAATTCACGTCACATTATACTGCAGATATGTTCCCAGTAATTTAGAGCCAAATCTCTAAGATGAAAGGAGAATCTAGAGAGGCCTATGGGGACCCAGGAACCTGAACCCAAAAGGCTTTTGTTGACTTTGAATCCTTAAAATGAGCTCTGCCACTTTTGTTCCCTTTCTGTAAAAGGCAACTGCACTGCCTGTGTCGATGAGACACTTGCTGCATCTGGGCCTCTACCCATCTCCAGTCACTCCCTGAGGCCAGGGATGAGATAGCCAAGCCCTCAAGCAGGATGCCATTCCAGATACAACTGTTTCCAGTGCTGTTATGACCAGAGAAGGCAGTTTCTGGCTCCGTATGTTGATTACTACACCATCCTACCGAGGCTGAGAGCTGTCCAGAACGGGCATTTACAAGGCAGTCTGAAGGCTGCTGAATTCTCTCCACTGGGAAAGAATAGAGAAACGTAGCCTTACTTTTAATGGCAGTTTATCCCACTGGATGTTAAGATGATATGGCTATTTAAGGAATACATAATTTATCTGTTTAAATTAACCAGACTTTTAAACAAATACTTTGCCTACCTCTCCCTTGCCTTGCTACCCTGCTCATGCAAACCCTTGCAAGGGCAGTGTGAGGTTGACCACTCTTGAGATGGTTCTGTTGAAAAGTGATGGTTCAAAAGTGACCAGCTCAGCAGGGTGCACTTCCACATCTAGTTAGTTTTGAACACGTGACAAGTGACTCCAGTTGTAATTCCCACTCTTGCAGAAGGCAAGATTGCTTGCTTTAAAAAAAATACAACCTTGTGGAAAAAAGCATCTTTACACACAAAGTTGGGTTCTGAGGCAGAATTGTTTCAGGAGTACATACGTGTCCAGACCCAAACTCCTCCTCCCTCTCTCCATCTCTCTCTGTTCAGAAAGGAGCATTGCACATACGGCACAGTGCAAAGTGCATGTCTGCCTTCAGCTGTCCTGGGAGACTTCACCTGATGTCAGACCCCTGGTGAACCATCAGCTAGAGCACTTCTGAGCCTGGACAGTCTTTCTTTTGCACTCCACTTGGCAAGGCAGAGCATCTTGCCAAGCCTTCACCCTCCTTGGCCCATGCCAGGTGATTTCACAGTGAGCCAGCAATTACTCAGACTGACATGTGGTCAGGTCACGTGTCAAATAAATTTATCTCGTTTACAAGCAGAAGGTTCTTCAATGAATAATTCAGGGAGAAATAATCACCTTCATGGTCCATTTTCCCAACCCCAGGCTCCGTCTCTAACAAGCACCTGCTGAACCTAGCGAGACATTTTGACTACAGAATTAACGATTTGAAAATCAGTGTGTACACTGTGCATGCAGACATCCCCCCCAGGATTGTACTGACTGCTAAAGGCAAACAGCAACCTGTTGGCCCAACCCTCAGTGAAATCACATGAGGTTTTCCTGTCAGCTTAAGATGGAGCTGGACTGAATCTAATCAACTGAACCCATAGAGTTCATCATTCACAGGCTCTCATCATCACAAGTAAAATGGCTGGGTTTTTCGAAGCTGCTTGTTATTTTCTTGTCACCAGCCTCAGGGAACACTGGTTTGCATAAAGCTTATAAAAATAGCAACAGCTACACTACGATATGGCCCAGCAGATCTAAAGCTGATGAAGGTAAAGTTGTTGTCAGCAATGTTTTCTTCATCCCTCCTTTTTTAAATGAGATTTGCCATACTTCATAAACCCATGGCTAAGTCTGTTTTCTCCTCATTTGTGCATGAATCTCAATTATAAAACTATTAAGATTGTGAAGAGAACCTATTTCTTCATTTGTATAATACCCCATTTGTATACCCCATGGGTTACCTTACTTTGTGCAAATGAAACACCTGAAATTTTGGTAATTAGATTACACAGGATAAAGATAATTTGTGCCAAATAGCAATTCGGAAGAAAGTGTTACAATGTAACCTCCCCCCCTCCAGTGTGTTTTTTCATGCTGAGAGTGGCCAGTGAGTACACTGTAATTGTAATATCCAGCCCAAATCCTCCTATATCTGAAGGAGGTCAGGTAGGACCAAACACCAGTCCATTTTTTCCTAACTACATCAGCCAGTCCAACAATATTATAATTCCTCCCAAACTCTGTCTGAAGAACAGCAATTTTAGACACAGGAGGAATGCAGGAATAAGCTCTAAACTTTCCACTCTAAATTATGTAGTAGATTAAATAGACCTATAGATTTTGGCTTTATGGCAAGAGGTACAACAGAGAATTGGTTTTCTGTATAACTCTAAGCTGTTTAACTGGCCATTTTCAGACTTGATATCTCGCTTGTTTCAATTTCCAGAGTTCACCACGAGACTCCCTGTATGAAATTGGACTCACAGAACAATGGTGCCTGAACTGAACAAGACTTTCAGGCATCTCAGGCTACAACCCTGTCACTGCTCTCATTCACCTCTGAAAGGAAGGTGAGTGCCCTCTAGTCAACTTGAGCGATTCCCCAATAACCTCAAGTGAAGAGTGCAGTCCATACATGAAAAGTATTGTGACCATTAAACACTTTGCCTGTTTCATCGTTACACAGAACACAGTCCTTAATTAGCTTTTGATTAACACTCCCATTAGCATAAATTAATATTAACAAGCAGCAATTATTCTCAACATTGAGAAAACACTGATGAAACCGGTCCCCCTATCTGGGTATGACAACAGTACCGATACACACAGACCAAAAACTTCATTCTGAAAATTCAGTGGGAACTGGCACTAAAAGCTGGAAACCAGCTCTGGGTTCAGGCTTTGCAGATTGACTTTACAAAGCCAGTCAAAGCCTCCATGCCTGAACATTTATTCTTGCACGTGTATGTAGATCTAGATCTCAGTTTGGCAGTTTTAGTCCACTCTGGAATTACCAAGCATGGTGACATTTCATTGCCAATATAATTTTATAGAGCCACTGGTTGTTAGGATACAGCTTTGTTCACCACAGTTAACCACACTGTCTCAATTCATCATGCACCCACCAGACCATAAATCTGCTAATTAAAGAGAGACACATCTTCGACTCCAGTATTTGTACAACAGCCTTCCTCCCAGGCACAGATTCAGTGATATTTCCTTCACTGTACTGTGTCAGCTTGATGTTCCCACTGGTCACAGCTAATTAGGACTGAGTGAGCTATGCTATTGTAGCTCTAAAATGTTGATGATATAAGCAGCTTTTACGCAGGAC